TCTCCCATCACAGCAAACGTACCACCTGCATTACTTCTGCATTAATCTTATGAGACATTCATATGCGCGGTTCTCTTAAATCTGATGATATGCGCTCCACACCAACACCAACTTAAACCTGACAGTACTCCATGATATGTGATAGTAGATAGGTAGACACATCATGATTTGTTGTCTTTTTACCTGCTGTCTGTATGACCAATAATCCAGCGACATTTTCACCACATGGCTGATTTTACAAGTTCTGGAGTCTGGAGTTTTACTTTCGTGAATGGTGGTCCAAGTAGGGCTGGACAATATGGCCAAAAAGTTTCATATCTTTCGATATCAATAATTATCACGATAAGTATCAAATCGTTATTTCTTTCGAGTTTAAAGGCTGATTTTTACTCCTGAGTGAAGTAACCTGATGGTTAATTGTGGTTTAAACTCTTCGTTATGGTCAACACTTGATGCCAAACAGTGAATCACTTCACGAATCTGAGGTAGAACATTCAAAACAATTATGATAAAATCTTTGTCAACATTTATGCATGAATAAAAAGTAAAAGCTTGTTTCAGTCCTTTTTGCTTCAACAAAATAAACATCATAATTAAAAAAATTAAGTCGTGATTCGTGTATGATACAAGTGAATAAAGTCAAATATTTATTGAATATTTATTGAGCATTTGTTATTGAAGAAAATTATATTGTGATAATTGTTATTTTATTGTCCAACCCTAAGTCCAAGTTCTATATATTGTACTGCAATAGCTGTTGAGATTACTTTATGCTCAGTTACATCCGTACTCTATTAGACACATTCACATAAAATACATTTTCTCACTGTCTGAAGGAGGCTGTGGCTGAGTAGCAATGATGACTCAACAGGCTGACCTGTCTAAGCCAGCCTCGACCTTTCAGACCTTTGTGTGTGAGGCACAAAAGGTCATAGTTGATCTGAAGAGGAGCTTATTTAATCTCTATAAAGGTCAGACGCAGAGCCTGTTATGACAAGTCAGTATAGTCATAAATTGGAATAATTTTGTTTATGTTTGGCTTTAATGTTATATAGCTTAAATAATTTTGATTGCAGACTTTGCTGAAGAGTATGTGTATGTATTTGTTTATGTATTTTGGCCAAATCATGGAGAGAATTGATGTGGAAAAGTGCAATCTGCCTTCAGGCATTGTAGAAGCTAGACACGCTATTGTCCTGTGAAGACATTAAGCTCAATATGAGTGCCAAAAAAGTCAGTCAAGAGCATTTAGCCAGAAGAGCCTCACCCAGGACAATTCATCTTTCAATCTGTTATCTGTTTGTGTGTGTTGCTTACCAAAACAAGGGGACAGGGGTCCACTGTTGTTGCTTGGCTCTGTCTGTCTGTCTGCAGGGGTTGGGTGGTGGGTGGGTGGGGGCTGACACGGCGCGGTTCAGAACTGGGTCAACCGGATTAATTTCCTGGCCTGGATGATTGAAGCTAATGGCAGATTAGCATGGGAAGTTTCACTTCCAACACAGCCCCTCCACCCAAAACCCTCAGCCAGGACTGGAGGTGAAGCTATGTGCATGCTGCATTCTGATTTTCACAAAGGAATGTGTGTGTAGGATAATGCCCCTACACTGTGTGTACTGTAAATGTGCTTTTTCTCTTACTACCATTCTCTTAACTCCCCGGTGACCATGTGTGACCATGACAATTAAAGGACACTGTCAGCTAATGGAAGTGGCCTCAAGAATATAGATATAACATAACAAATCCTTGAGATGTAGTAATATCCTGACACAACTGAGAGGTTTAGCCAATCAGTATTTTTTTTTTCAATCCAGTGCTTTTGGACTTGACTTAGTCTTCATAATCTTTGGAAATAGTTTGTTCTTTGATTATTCCATTTCAGAAATAATAGGCATCGCTCATGAAACTGTAGTAGTCTGTATGTAATTCTCTACTATTTTACTTTATTTTTCCCATTAGTTTGGCCGAATCTCCAGTACTCCAGTTCTTGATTAGGGATCATTCAGAGCACCTGTTGCACTGACTCCTCAGCAAGGATTGAGTGCAGCTGGGTGATTCCTTCTTGGCCAATCGGGATGTGGCAACGCCCATTCTGCAAGGCATAAGAAGAGGGTCATACAGCCCACTGTGGCTCATTCCTGAAGCATGCTGAACCCTATGCAATGTGTGCAGAATTCGTTCCTTAGCCAAAGTCAGCCTATATCTCTGTCCTTTGGGACCTGCTGAGATTCCTTTTGCTGTCTCCTTTGTTTATTGTGGGAATAAATAAGAGTACTCTGGACCTTGAGTTCAGAGTGGACATAGAGCCCAGGGCACCTAAAGCAGCCCTGGTGTTTCAATAAATATAACCTTCTGCCTGCGAGCCCTTATTTGTCTGTTTTCATTTAAAACCCCTTCCCCATTCTTTTTTTTTTTTTTTACTTTATTGAAGAGGCTTTTTTTCCATTATGTATTAAAATATTTGTGGAACTTTTCTCCAAGGGGGATACTTTATTTTCATTTATTATGTGGTTGGGAACCAGGCATCAGTCACCTTTTCCCTGAGGCTTGTGAAAACAGTACCGCCACAAAACTGTTGTTTAAAAAAATCTGCCGTCGTTTAAATCTTAACAACTTTGATGCATAGTATCATGTCTCCATCAGTACTTGCAATGATTCAGAGCATGCTCATATTCTAGAGTTGTAGAAGCAGTAATGAAGGCATCTGTGTTCTTTTACAAAAGGGTGTCATAGACTATTAAAGAGGTCATATTGTGCTTTTTGGCTTTTTCCCTTTCTTTCTTATTGTGTAATGCAAAGTGAAAAGGCCCAAAGTCCACCCCAAAGGGAGTTTACCTTCCGCAAACTATCTGTGTCACTTTGTAACCCGTGTCATAATGCTCGCCTAGCGGCTTGTCAGGAACACCCTCAAAAAAGTATTAAACACACAGGGTGACAATAGGAGCTGTAGCAATGTGCAGTATGACAAAAATATGGTGTTTTTTGAAAATGAAACCATGTAAACCTGTTCTGGTACAGCCCCCAAATAAAATGATGAACCTGAAAGTGAGCATAATATGACCAGTTTAATACCTCTGCCTTAATGTGTTTGTTAACCCAGTGGTAATCAAACTTTTTCACGTCAAGGGCCTCTAAACTGACACAAATTAGACCATAGGTCTATATTCTGAATTTTTATCTGAATTTAAAGAGTTTTTGCCAAGGGTTAGGGTTAGTCCTTAATTGTAGGTGATTTTAATATTCATTCGTGATTTTAATAGTGTTCCCACAGAATCCCTTCCATCAGACCACTATTTAATAACTTTTGAGTTCCTGTTACTGGACCACATGCCAAAAATCTCTACACTAGGTGTCAATCTGATACAGCTGTAGCTAAATTTAAGGAAGTGATTCCATCAGCTTTTTATTCATTACGTGTTATGTCTCAATGTAGCGGACGCCTATGCTAATTTCAATCCCAAATTGATCATCTTGTTGATTGTATTGCAGGCTCACTGTGAATCACACTTAGAGTCAAGTTCTGTTGCCCCTCTAAAAAAGAAGATAGTAAAACAAAGACGGTTAGCTTGTAACACCGAAACTCGCATATTAAAGCAATAATGCAGAAACTTCAAAGGAAATGACGTACCACCAATCTAGAAGAGTCTCGATTAATCTTCCAAATCTGGCAAGATAGTCTTAAAACTTATAGGAACGCCCTCCACAATGCCAGAGCAGCGTACTACTCATCATTAATAGAGCAAAATGAGAACAGCCACTTTTCAGCACTGTAGCCAGGCTGACAGAGTCACAGCTCTATTAAGCCATGTATTCCTATAGCCCTTAGTAACGACTTCATGAGCTTTTTTAACAATAACACTTTAATTACTCTCTCTCTCTCTCTCTCTCTCTCATTCAATTCAATTCAATTCAAATTAGCTTTATTGGCATGAATGTAACAACAACATTGCCAAAGCATCATATATACAACATAAGAACAATCAGCCCCATACATTTCATTAAACAAGTAATTAAAGCGTAAAGTAATCAAAGCGTATGTGTGTTTGTGTTTAAAAAAGAAAAAAAAGAAATATTAAAAATTAAAATAAATAAATAAAACAGTAAGTGTGTGTGTGTGTGTGTGTGTGTTAAAAAATAAAAATATATTAAAAATAAAATAAATAAAACAGTAAGCATGTGTGTTTATGTGTTTAAAAATTTTTTTAAATATAAATAAATAAAACGGTGTGTGTGTGTGTGTGTGTGTGTTAAAAAATAAAAATATATATAAAAAATAAAATAAATAAATGAAACAGTAACGTGTGTGTATATATATAATAGAATTAAAGAATTAATTGATTAAAAAATAATAAAAAAAAAAGAGTGCTGAAAGTGATTTTAATTGGGTTTCATATTGTGTCTACAGGCCTCTTTCTCTCCTCCCGTTTCCATCTCTCCTACACCTCAGTGCTTGCGCTTTTCCATCAGGCCTCTGATTATATCTTACCATACACCACAGTTTTATGGTCCTATATTTTGATTGTGGATGTAGGTACTAATGAGCTTGTCTCCCTAATATTTTGTTACTCTTATCTGAATCTTAAGTTTTAGAAGACCATGTCCCCTGTTAGCCTTATTCTGTGGGCAATGCTGTACAGTATAGAGTACATATATGTTATGTCTTTTTGCATAAGCCCTCATTTGTCACAACGTTCCCGTGACGCAGAGGAGAAAGTCCACAAAGTTTAGTAACTCTTGAGTCAGCTATACTGGGAGCTGCCACATATTGCAGCTCTGCATTGTTTCTCCAGGGAATGTTTTCCCGCTCAAGAGGATGTTATGTCTGCGAATGTTGCTAAGGCCACATTACTTCTTCCTCTCTTCCTGACTTCTTCCCTAGATCCTCTCTTCATCTAACACGGACAGTATAGAGGAAAACAGTACTGTAAAAACATTTAAATGATACAGCAAAAAAGTAAAGCCCATTTGGCTCATCCTAAACAGTCTCTCCTCTTCTTTATAAGGTATTGGAAAGAATGTCATCTGCGACCGGACAGCAACGCCTCTGGATGCCTTCCGAATGATGTCAGCTGCCCAGTATTACCCCAAGTTGCTGAGCATTATGGGAAATGTACTACGTTTCTTGCCAGCCTTCGTTCGAATGAAGGAGTTGTTAGAGGAAGGGTACATCGGGGAGCTTCTGGTCTGTGAGGCCCAGGTATGACAAAAAAATTAATGCTTGTTTTTGGAGATGGAGAATTTTTAAGTTAGTATGAGAAACACCAACAGAGCTGGTAAGGAAGGACGTTATCAAAAAAAACCTTGTCACAATTTCTCCTCTTTGCCTTAAAGGTCCACGGTGGAAGTCTCCTGGGAAAGAAATACAACTGGAGCTGCGATGACCTGATGGGAGGTGGTGGTCTGCATTCGGTTGGCACCTATATCATCGACCTGCTTACGTTTCTGACTGGTCAGCGTGCAGAAAAAGTCCACGGCTTCCTCAAGACCTTCGTCAAACAAACGGATCACATCCGGGGCATCCGTCAGATCACCAGCGATGACTTCTGCACGTTTCAGATGGTACTGGAGGGAGGCGCCTGCTGCACCGTCACGCTCAACTTCAACGTGCCTGGTGAGTTTCGGCAGGAGGTGATCGTTGTGGGGACGGTTGGGAGGTTAACAGTCATGGGGACGGACCTGTATGGACAGAAGAACAGCGGGGACGGAGGAAGCAATAGAGGTCCTGAACTTCTGCTCAAAGACACCACACCTCTTGAGAAGGCTTCCTTACCGGAGAAGGCCTTCAGTGACATTCCAGCCCCCTATCTCACCGGAACGATCCGCATGATCCAGGCTGTGCGGCAGGCCTTTCATGACCAAGACGACAGGCGGACGTGGGACGGGAGGCCTCTGACAATGGCTGCTACCTTTGAGGATTGTCTTTATGCTCTTTGCGTGGTGGATACCATCAAGAAATCCAACCAGTGTGGAGAGTGGCAGAACATTGTGGTGATGACAGAGGAACCAGAGATCAGCCCAGCCTATTTGATCAGCGAGGCCATGCGGCGGAGTAGGATGTCACTCTACTGTTAATATCCATCTGATGAGCTGACCTCATCAAAATGGCTGAACTCCTGTGTTACCTTAAAACTGGAGGTGACCTCAGGAAGGCCTTGGTGTTGCTGGAACAATATTCATACCGCTACCGGGTTCAGTTCTTATATTAATCAGCAGTTCATTTTAATGCTGTCAAATATGTGTTGTTACTGTTACAGACAGAGAGGTCAAACCACTATGATACAGAAAGTTAAGGTTTCCTGATACCCTGCCTCAGCAGTAGAGAAAAAGCAATGTAATCCATAATTAAACTTTTATTTATTAGGAAGCCTTTCCTGTTTTATCCCTTTTGACAGAAGACTTGAGTCCTTCCAGGAAGATGCACTTGTAAATAAAACTGATTAATACAACGAAATATGAGCTATATTGCTACTGTGGAGGCAGATCAGGGAGTGAAACTAATTCTACTGTGTTCTGCTTGTCCATAATGGTATTGCGCCTCTCCTATCTGCTTCTCCTCTATGTGACTTGGTCTAGAAGACGACATCTTACACTGTGGGTCCAAACGAGGACAGCCAAGGAAGAACGATAGTCCTTTCAGTTAAAACTGTGCCGCTGTATTGTTGCTACTAAATTTAAGTAATTGTTAGTTTTAACAAGTGAATGTTTAAAAGAATCCGTGTGCTTGATAGCTTCAGCCTCTGTCTGCCCTGTATGCTTCCTCTGTATGTGTGAAACAACAGCGGTGAAAAAATCAATAGTTTGGCTGGTGGGTTTTTCAGAAGGGTTTACCTTCTGGTTTATGTATGCAATGCATCCAAGCTGTAGTCTGGAGATGCTTCTTCCAGCCAGGAGTAAAGGGTTAAAATACACTGTGGTATGCCTTTTATGCAGTTACAGTAGCCTGTATAGTTTGCAAGCCCTGTATGAGGGGCCAGTGCAGTAAGACATTTTGTTAATAATTTCATGCTCTTTTATTTTATGAAGCATGGCCATGAAATACACTGAATTCTGTGTGTGTATCTGTACTGAGCCTTAAGTGTAGATATTAATGCAGCCTTGCACTAAGATGCGAGTAAATGCAAAGCTTTATAAAGCTTCTTTGACATGCACAGTGAAATTGCGGGTTTGTCAGCATGAATAACATGCAAGTTCAGTTTGGACACACCTTCAGTAAGGCTGGAAACCTGCAGCCAGTTAACTGTGAACCACCATGTGGTAGATGGTGGAATAGAAAAGCATTTCTTTTAGGTACAGTTAGAGGTATTAAACGTTAAGGCTGTTTTCTTAATGTCAGCAAAAATCCATGAAAAGACTACAATCAACAACACGTTAATCTGTATGTCAATACTCTGATTCTCATTGAAGATGTAAAATTCTAAAGCTGCACCATCAGTATATTTTTTATGTTTTTAATGAGTCAAATTACTATGTTTAATGTGAAAGGTGTTGCTCTTAGTGATGAATCCAAAGAGAATTATCACCTGACTTCTCCTCAACGCAGTGTTTTAGCATGTCAGCTCATCGTTTTGGTTTTTATGGCTCACAACTTTTGCTGTTTTAATTCACTCTCACCACTCTTAGCGTCGTTTCCAGCCATGGCATGCATCTGTTTCAAGTGAAAAAGGTCAGATAAATAAATATAAATTTACTACTCTAGGTTGTAGGTAAAGTCTAGGTAGGTAAAGTCTAACTCTCAAAGTCAGATAGACAAAATTATCCAATAGCCGGTGGACATAATGAAGCATTTAGCAACTAAAGACCCAAACATTTCCCCTCAGCAAAACAGAGGTAGAAGAGAATAAATGTTAGATTTACATTCATCAGGTGGCCAGAAAGAAGTATCCAAATAAATACTATTGTTTCTCCGTGTCTGCTGGATGTGTAAATTGGCAATTTTGTGCTAACATGTTAGCTTTATAAACTAATCACAAATATATAGCTTTGATTAATAAAAAATAAACTGTAATTTTTAGCTTAGGGACTATTTTCAGCTGTTGACTAATACACATTCTCTGCTCTAGGACGAAACATATAAAGAGCCAATGAAGAAGAGCAAGAGTTAGAACAAAAGGACGTCACATTTTTTAAATCAAATTGTGACACTGATGTATTGAGGGGAAGCTGATCTGTGATGCATACAAAATCACACCTATCTCAGTGTTTGGATATCGTTTTTGCTTTTTATTGTGTTTTACTACCTGTCAGTCACATAAGAAAGCTAAAAGAAACCTTTAGAAAGTATTTGCAAACACTGTTTGATTTAAGGTTAAGTATAACTCATTACAGGTATAAGAACAACGCTACCCTCAAGCCAAAAGATTGATTTTTTTGATGCATCTCTGTTCCCCTGTGTTCTTAAGCTAAGCTGAAATACTCTCTATGTATTGACTACTGAAAATGTACGTATGAAAATATCATAAAATTACAATATGAGTTTGTCTAATGAAATAAGTACTGTATGTATGTATTTGTAAAAACCAAGTAACTAGAACATGTCTTGATGAGTGTTAATGTATTTATTCTTTGTTTTTGCTGTTGACATTTTGTGGACTGACCGGCAGTGTGTTTGGGAGATTAACAGCAGACTGAGGCCTTGGAGCTTTCAACTTCTTATAGTTTACTGACCAAAATACGCTTATTTTAAGACTGTTATGAAAAGCTTTATGTTTGCTCTTAAGATGCATTATACATCATGACAGTCACAACAAAACTACACTGTCACCTAGTGCAAACTCTGATATGAAAATCAACATTTGGAAATGTTCCCAGCTCATAGTACCTAAAAGGGATGTCTGAGCCCGTTTTAGTGTTATGATTTAACACGTCTCACCATGGTTTGCTGCGGTCAGGACACATTACAACTCATGCTGTGGGGCGATCAGCTACACAGAACTTTGTAACATTTAGAGAAGTTATAAATTTTTGTCTGACTGAAAACGCTGATAAGCTATCACTCTATAAGATAACTCAAGTTATATTATTGCCCCTTGTGTACCGTGCGCCTTATCAAATCTGCATATAGACTTTCCCCCTTTGTCTGATAACAGTTTTCAAAATATAATAGCCTTATTTAAACTCAGATAAGATGTGCATTGGCATTCCCTTTTTTTGTTTAGTTCATTCTTTTCCTCTGTTCATTTATGATAATCTGAAGATTTATCAGTGAAGACACCTGAGTTCATGGCTCAATTCATGATTCATGGCTCTGTGCTGGAATAGCCTCGGATATAAGGTGAAGGAACAGATTTTAAACCTGCATCTAATATTAGGCAAACAGACATGCAGCTGATGGCTTCTGTTAACTTTCAGTGCAGTCTGACTTGGTGGGTTTACTTTGCAAAACATGTAAACAAAGTAACTGCATTTGTAAGTGTATTGATTTATCTGTTGAATTGAAAGTGTATGGATACAGTGATGATAGCAAGTAAAGATGACTAGAAATGCTTGACAAGGAGATAAAGTCTGTGCCTCAAATCACTCTTCAACCTTTAGAGTAGTTTAGTCCACTGGTATAATACCTTCCACAAAAGAATACTAATTTTGATTTACAGGGTACACAAAACAAGTTGAAGGTCAACCTCTTGTTTCTGGTAGCTTAATCATAGGATCCATATTATGTCATAGTAACACTTTATTTGCAGGTAACACTTACTCAATAATTTCTGGAAGGTTTCCTGTAAAGCACTATGCAAGTTGGTACTAATTACAGTTAAAATACAGACAAAGTTCTGTTTAATGTAGTAAGTCCAATTAACTGGGTTAAGTTTGTTGTTAATTCCCAGAGAAATGTCTTTAAAATAACTGCTCCATTTCCAGCAATTCTGAATTGCATGTTTGTTGACAAATTGTACAGGTTTGCAGGGTCAGTCTCAAGGTTACACTATTTTAGGATTTTGAATTAATTGGAAGTGTACGAACTGATCACTTTGCCTATAGTTAGTAGCAAATTACACGGTTCTTTTCAAGAAACCTCCATGGAATTAAGTGAAGTGTCACCTTTTTATTATATTAGGTAATTTAAGCTAAATAGAGATGCAGCCATGACACAAGTACCAGTGCTGCTATCAGGCTCCACAAGCAATTATTTGGAAAAGTGTGTGTTTGATGGTCTCCAGTAATAAGATTCTTCTTGCTCACTAAGCTGCAGAAATTCATCCACCTCCAAAGAAACGACCCAATGGTTAACGCAAACGTTTAGGGAAACTCATCTTAGCTTTAATTACATTCATTTCAAATATTTTCTTTGCTCCTGTTTCTTCCCTCTTGTCTCCTAATCCGTCATCTGTTGGCTGCACAGGTTGTAACGTCTATGTGTGAGGATCCTCTGACAATAGGCACAGTATGTTTAGATCAGCTTGGTCTGATGTTAAGCTATATTTAGTGTCTCAGTGATGAAAAGATGTTGTGTGACTCCTAACATTAGCTTAACCAGACCCTCCTGAGTTCTTTCAAGTGTCTGAAACAAGGATTAACTCTCGGTTGTGTAGCCCACCGGAGCTTAGTCCATGTCCACACAGACCCATCCTCCTCCATGGAGATGCAATTAAACAGCTCAGCAGACACCTCCTCAGCCAGCTGCCTATGCTGTGTGGTAAATGTATCATTAGCATCTGCTTCAAATTAAGAATATTACAAGACCAGAAGGCTTTTCATTTAGGTCAGTGCAGATACATGGCAAAACATTTTTTTGGTGACATTATGATGCTGACAGTGAGTTATTCTCTCATTACAACCATAATACTTTAACCCTTTGCTGCTTGTTAGTGAAGCACCTGCAAAGGCTTTTTAGTGACATCAACCCCAGCTATGAATAGGTTCACACATGTCTCTGCATGAATAGGAATAGGCAGCGGTCTGATAAAGATAAGGCAATATCTGGGTTCTGGAGCACTGAATATTTAATTAGTGCAATTTGAATGAGTTGATACAGTACAGTATGAGGATTTCATATATTTTAAAGACTAGTCAGCAGCATCAAATGTTTACTTGACTGATTTTTTGTTTTCTTTTAATTGTTGAATAACTGAATATTTCAGAAGATTTTTAATGTTAATTGAAAAATTGTTCAGACATCAAATTGGTGTTTATACTGTATCACCATTGCAACAGTGTGGGCAATGAAACATACTGTGCTTTATGGACTCACTGGTCTAGATTTTTTGTTGCCTACAGTTTTTTTTTATCATTTTGCTTTCTGCTTGTGGCCTGTTAAGGATGAAGCGGCTCTGTGCTTCAGAAAAAAGACATTGCAGAAAAATAACACAGAGGTGCTCCAGTTCCAACTTTGCACTTTGACTGATGTGTTTGCTGACAGTCGTGACTATGAATTGCTTGTTCTTACTTTGTCAGCATTCACAAACTGTTCGGGAAAGGCTTTCTCGTACTGAGGGAGAGTAGGGTGGAGGTTGGATGGGGTGAAAATTGTTCATTTTGGAGACCAACAACCTCAAAGAGGCACTTCTTCTGCCGTTACCTAGCAACCAGAAGCCACATTGCCAAACTAGGTCGTCTTATTTTTTTTCTCTTTCTCTCTCTTTCATTTTCACTCACACAGTAACACAGTACCCTTACTCCTCAGTGTGTATTCACACCACTTTCTTTCACATGGTCTTCCTCCATCTCTCCCCCTCTTTCTCTGACTGACTGGTCAAAGGGTGAGCTCTTAGAAGGAGTATCATAATCAGTGTTGAGATAACAGGTTTTCATCTGCTAGTGACTGATCCGTCATTTCATTTCAGATTTTTCACAGGATAACTCTCAAAATGAGTTTCTCTCTCTCTCTCTCTGTCTCTCTCTCTCTCTCTCTCTCTCTCTCTCTCTCTCTCTCTCTCTCTCTCTTTCATTGTGAGTCAGGTTGAAGCCTGGAGCACAAGCACACTGGTGCTTCTTCAGACCTTCCTCCCCAAAACTTGTCTTCTCATCTTTTCTCTTCAATATGCTTTCGGAGCCAAGACAGGAGTAACCAAGGCAACCCTTTTAATAAAAATGAATAACCGACAGGATACATCTTCTGAATGCCTTTCCTCAGCTGGTTTGTGAATGCGGACTTCTGCCATGCCTTGCTGTACCATTAATTTGTTCAAAGAAAATCAAATACCCTTCTTGATGCTGTATTGTGACTATATCCAATATTTATTGTGTATGTATATCGTGGACGCATGGGCCCCTGTGCACACCATATGTTGAGCTTGTAAACACATATTTATGGGTCTTAATCTAGAGAATGTACTTATTGTAGAAATAATTTATATTTTCTATCTGTTAAGGACGAAACGCCATTGTAGGAGGTCAGTCACAGAAATAAAAGCCCCCCTGAGTTCTTTGCGTGCTGTAAAGTGTGATGGTGCATTTCTGTTAAATAACCTCCATCCCTGCCCCTTTTTCTTTTTTGATTGTGACTCCAGTCTTGCTGTTTCATCTCTCTGCACCAGTGCTCAGCATTCATTGAATGTGTGTGGATGAGGGTGTATGTGTGTGTGTGTGTGTGTGTGTGTGTGTATGGTACATGGTTTACGGCTTCAGCACTTGTGTAATGCTGCAGTTTCTATGAAATAAAAAAAGTACATCCATAACAACTCTAATTTCATTTTTTTAAATATCTTTTGGTGACTGGTTACAGAATTGGTAACACAATTAAACCCATTTAAGTGTCTCATCCTATCTGCATGTATGTTGTTTTGACTGGATTCAAACTGTAAAAGATTGCTTCAAAAAATAATTGATGTTATTTTAGTGATGGTTTATCTTTGGCTGCACACAGCATAATGAAAGCGTCTGCTGACCCCTACTGGCTGGAATAGATACTGCACATCATCCACAGACAGACTTCTCACATCCTCCCATTGATAAATATCACACTTTTTACACATTGTATTATCTGATGACATGTTTCTAATGAATCAGATGAAGTTGAAGAGCTGAAGGGAGTATAATGTTACAATCTGAGGTAGGAACATCCTTTCAGGAGGCAGCTACATGTATCACAGTACCAAGGATAAGGTAATTTGACTATTTACCACCTTAAAAATCAAGTATCTTGATGGAAAAATACAAACATGCATATACATTTCTAAAATTCTGTGCAGTTAGGCTACTTGGGACAACATCATGATCAATGATGGAGATGTATTAAAGGTTAGGACCCTTTCAGAGTCTTTGTTGATGTAAGGGATAAGCATTAATATTTCACAGCTGCCCTCCTCCACCATCTGATTTACAGTGAAATGGAGGAGGGATGGAATACATGACATTTTCCATGAAACAGAGCAACCAGGTAAGATTAAAATCTACTTCTGTGAAACCAGCTCTTAAATCTAAAAAACCTCTGTTGACCTCTAACAGCCCTGGACACCACAAGCAAAAGGCACCGTCTACACTGATCAATAAACTATCTTTCTCAGATCTGAAGTCCCATGTGACTGTTCTAGTCATAAGACATGCTCTCTAAACATTTCTTCAGTCCTGCACAGATCACATTTGGATTTTGTATTCATTATGAGCATCAAAGTGGACACCTTACATCTTTCTTTAAATTCTACCTCATCTTTTATTTGATTTGATTGATATATGTGACATATGCGATTATTTATCAATAGACTACGTGCGTTTTGTAGCAATAGAAAGCAATATTAAAAATCTAGTTCATATTTTTATTTTTTAAACTTTTGAAGACAAAGCGCCTCACGCCCGGTTTGAGTGTGTCTGCTGAACTTCTGATGCGCTGCCACGCTCAGGTTCAACGTTATCATTTCAAAGGAACATTTTTTCCGCTGTAAAGAGATTTGAGGACTACTTTGACACTGTTTACTAGTCAGCTGAAGCTGCTCTGTTGGGGGCGCGGCCTCCCTTTGGACTCCCTGCTGCTTCAGTTTCAGCAGCAGCTGTCAGACTGTAACGGGAGGACGAAGCGCTCCATCCATCCACAGCGGCTGAGATGGCGGACCCGGCCGAGTGCACCATCAAGGTGGTGTGCCGTTTCAGGCCTCTAAACAGCGCGGAGGTGGCCCGGGGAGATAAGTACATCCCTAAGTTTAAAGGGGATGACTGTGTGCAGATTGGGGTGAGTGTGTTTCTCTATGCACAGCTCTGGAGTCAGAGGATATTAGCCTATACCATATGTACATGCATTATTATTAGCCTATGATAATAATGATAAAAATAATAACAATGGTTATTATTGTTATTAATGTTGTTGTTGTTGTTGTTGTTATCTGTAAAATAATGGCAATGTAAAATCTGTTTTCCATGCCAACAAAGCCCCTTGAATTGAATTGAATTGGATCAACTAAACTCAGCGCTACAAGTCTTCCACTTTTCAGTTAGTCACATTAATTCACCAAATTTAAAAAACAACAACAAAAACAAAAGTAAAAAATAAAACAATGTATTGAATGAAGCATTAGCCTGTACAGAAAGAAGGCAGAGGCGAGGTTTCACACAACAAATTTCATGAATTAAATTAAATGTTCATGCTAATTATTTTGGTCCATATTGAGATCACAATTATTTAACAAGATTACTCATTGCCTTAGGAAACATTAACCACTGAAATGTAATACTTTCTTTTTAAAAACGAGGCTACTATATATGCATTACTGAAAAATCCCAAATGGCCCATGAAATGAGAAACAATAATCCAACATTACTAACTTTAAGTAGCATCTACAGTGCAAGAGGAGACAGCAGCACAGTTTCCCCCAAGTTGACAGCTTTGGGTGACGGATGGGTCACTGAGGGGGCTGTGTGTGTGTGTGTGTGTGTGTGTGTGTGTGTGTGTGTGTGTGTGTGTGTGTGAGGGGAGCAGAGCAGGTGACACTATTCGAGCTGACGAAGTTATGTTACAGAACGCTGAAATAAAACCGTGGTGTTTTGTCGGGAGATGCAGTGACAGAAACCAGCGGTGAGAAAACTATAAATCGCTATGACGTTAGAAGGCGCAACACAGTGGATATTTTACAAGCACCGATCAGCAGTTTTTTATATCATAATTTATATTTGGGCATGGGGAATGTCAAGTCAGCTCGAGTCAAAGGGCTCAAGTCCAAGTGAAGTCACCAGTCATTGCTGTTCAAGTCAAAGTCGAGTCGCAAGTCTTCTTTGATTTTGTCCAGTCTAAAGTCATCATTTTTGTGACTCTAGTCTGACTCGAGTCCAAGTCATGTGACTCGAGTCCACACCTCTGTTGTGTTCATATTTATTAGGTTTTCCAGGGGGTTGTTGATACCATGCTCATCTGTACATCTTTTGCACTTTTACACAGGGATTTCTCCCTGAAGCTGGCAGCAGTAACTGTGTCAGTGGAAAGACATATGATTGTCACTTTGTCAAGATCAGCTTTGGGTTGTCACACATTTCTCCACTTTATCAGTCTTGACTTTATTCAGTCAAACTGAAAATGGTCCATTCCAATAAAATGCAATCCTCACACCTCTATTTTTTTTTAAATTAGCTTCACTCACACTGCGCAGTAGGATAGGCTTCTGTGTCTGCTAATGCAAAGCATGTTAGTGTGCTATGTTAGCAATAAGCAAAGACAAAACACAGCTTAAGCTGGATGTTGAGCTGAGCCTTAAAAAGTGAAGCTTAGTCTGATGAAAGTTGTGCCTACAGAAGCATGAGGAAGCATTTTTCTGAATTAACAAGATAATTAGTTGAGAATTACTGGTTCATTTTAGTGTAGTGTAATATTAACATGCATTAATGGGATGAGACTGCATATGAGTGAGAGGAGGAGAGAGGAGCTCAGTGCATCATGGGAAGTCACTGGCACTCTAGGTCTATAGCAGCATAACTAAGGGATGGTTCAGGACTTGCCTGAGCCAGCCCTAACTATAAGCTTTATCAAAGAGGAAAGTCTTAAGCCTACTCTAAATATGTGGTGATGGTGTCTGCCTCTTGAACCCAAATTTAGCTGAGTCACTGCTTGTTAGCCATTGTAGACAATTCAGTTCTATGTATATAGTGCCGATCTAGACCGTACTCTTATACTCTATATTATTCACAGACCCAGAACAGTTCCCACCATGCATTACAGAGGTTCCCATGTTGTATGCTGGGACTGTCAATAAACTATTCTATGTTAAGTCTTCATCAGTCTCCAAAACTTCATTACACCTGAACCTGGCTCACACTAATTCTTCAACACATATTATATAACTTCTACCCAAGGAGACAAGACCGAGGTCATAGTGTTTGGACATCCTGGATTGCTTGATGTAGTTACCCTTTAAATAATCACTCGACTGTGAGGAGTCTTGGTGTTGGACAGTGCATTTAAACAGATATCTGCCACTGTTCATCTTGCTTCTTCCAGTTGAGAACTATAGCCAAGGTAAAGGCCTATCTCCCTCCTAAAGATTTAGAGAGGGTGATTAACGCTTTCATAACTTCCCCTCTTGACTATAGCAATCCTTTATGTGGGCTTATGCCAGTCATTCATTCAACACCTGCAGTTTGTCCAAAATGCTGCTGCCCGCCTCCTGACAGGAAAGAAAAAGAGGGACCACGTCACATCTGTGTTCCACTCCCTCCACTGGCTTCCTGTTCATTACAGGATTGATTTTAAAATCTTACTTTCAACTTAATAGATTGGCGCCACCTTACCTAGCCTTCTTTGCGTTCACACTCCAGCTAGAGTGCTGAGATCTGCCAAACTCCTCCTCCTGGATGTACCCAGAAGCAGACTCAAAACTGAGCCTTTGGTGTAGCTGCCTCTAACCTGTGGACGAAGCTGCCAGTCCATATCAGAACCGATTCCAACTCTCAAACGCTTTAAATCACTGTTAAAAACACATCACTTTTCTTTGGCATTTCCTTCAAGTTAAGACAGTTATTATCCTTGGCGATTTTAGTATCATTAATGCTGTACTTTTACTTTGTAATTGTTTTATTGTTGTATATTTAACCTGTGCAGCACCTTGGTCAACCTTTGTAGTGTTAAGTGTGCTATATAAATAAAATTGATACTGATACTGATGTTGATACCCCCACCTCTTTTATTCCATATTGGGAGTCTTATTATTATCATGAACACATGCTGACTGAACACTTGTGTTAATCTGTGCACGTAGATTGCCAAATTGAGCTCTTGTTACAATTAATTGTAGGGAACAGAGAGTAATTGCACAATTCAATAGAAAATGAATATCCTACCTGCCTTGTTGAATTGCTCACATGCATGTCATGTAGTAGAGTCATGTAGGCCTATTGTTGTGTAGCAATATGGAAATTGAAGTTGGCATGTGTTACTGGTGATCATCACTGCCATCTCTTCTTCACAGGGTAAACCGTACTACTTTGACCGCGTGTTCCAGTCCAATACTACTCAGGAGCAGTTCTATAACGCTGTAGCTCAGAAGATTGTCAGAGGTAAGATGTACAATACACTACAGATGTAGTCTGATACACTAAAACCCTGGAAATACAAACCTAAACCTAACTAAATGGGTTATTTCTTTGTTTTTATGTGTACAGATGTTCTGGAGGGCTACAATGGGACAATATTTGCCTATGGACAGACATCCTCTGGAAAAACACACACAATGGAGGTAAAATGAAGTATCAGCTGTTGTTTCTTTCACCGGAAAAAAATACAAAAATTATGATGAAAAGCCAGAAATTCCACTCTGTCTTGTTTATGCTTTTTTATATAATTGTTTCTCCTAAAGGGGAACCTCCATGACCCAAACATGATGGGAGTCATTCCCAGAATAGTCCAGGACATCTTCAACTACATTTATTCCATGGATGAGAACCTGGAGTTTCATATCAAAGTATGTCAACCCCTCACTCAGCTGCTCAGATACTTTTAAACAACAGCAGGTACATGTCATAATATTGGTTACGTCTTACTGGAAGCTTTTGCTTTGCAGGTTTCATATTTTGAAATCTATTTGGACAAAATCAGGGACTTGCTGGATGGTATGTTTGTCTCTTGTGGCTTCTAATCATTATCATTTAGACCCTGACGCAAACAATATGATTCATTCAGACATATTGTTTACTTTCCTCCTCCTCCACAGTAACAAAGACCAACCTTTCGGTACACGAGGACAAAAACAGGGTGCCCTTTGTCAAGGTGAGACCCAGGGGGATTTATTGTACTGTTGAAATGTAATTTGAAATAAAACATTGATTGTTTCTGGTTAATCAATTGTGATGCATTAGCCATGAATGATAAGATAAGAGAATATGATCAAAACATAACCTAACATAACACATAACCTGCTCAATACTCTAACAATCACTGTCTTTGATGGAATAGGATTACTTTTACTTACTTTCACTTACTTATATTGTTCTCAATTATACTTTTTATATAAATGGATGGAGGAATGAGACATGGAACAAAAAAACTAAAGAGACTAAAAAACTCATAACTTTCCCTGTGAAAGCATCAGCCTGATGCAGTATGTCATGGTCTCCTCAGTTAATAATAGTCTTTCTGTAAAGCCGGCCTCCTGCAGGGCTGTTGAACAGCTTTTTCTTGTGTTGCATGTGTCCCCAGGGGTGTACCGAGCGTTTTGTGTGCAGTCCTAAAGAGGTCATGGACACCATAGATGAAGGCAAAAACAACAGACACGTGGCTGTCACAAGTGAGTTCATACAGTGAGCGCCTTCAGTGCTGCTGCCTCTCATGGGTTCAGCCTCTCTGAGTCTCCTGACTGCAGCGAGACTCTCATGAGCCAAGACACTGTCTGTATACTGCACACAGAACCAAAACAGAAAGAAAAGTGACGTGAAATTAGGCATTGTTTATAACACACTGATGTCAATACATTTTTCGAATCCTGGAAACTCATCTGAATTTAATTAGTCTTGAGTGCATCTTCGGATTGTCTTTCATTTCACATGACTATTTTTTACATCTAATGGTTTCTACAATGAAAAGTTTGTCATTCTCTAGCCACTAAACATCAGTTGACAGTGTCATCTTACAATTAGTGCTGGGCAACGATTAAAATTTTAGATTAATCGCGATTAATTGCAAGAAAATCATGCGATTAATCGCATTGTTACGTGTAAAATTGAATAATTAAATAATAATAAAATTCTAAACTAGTGTATTGTGCAATTTGTATTTAAATGTACTGCTATATACACAAAAGTGTAATAACATGTGGTTTGCAAACACTTTAAACAAATATGGTGCTTTTTACCAGCAGTATTCCCTTTACACAGTAGCAATAAAGTTTCGGCTGTTTGAGTTGTTTGATAGGCTGCGTCATTAACAAGCAAGCGGCTCACCTGCTGCCGTGATAACGGATCGTGGGTGGAAAAATATGGGAAAAAATGAAAGCGTAGTCGAAGTCTCCCTCCACTGCTTGTTTGGGTGGGTGATTTGCAGGCTGATCAACATCCCGCCCCTCCTGTGACCCATGGCTTGACTGTATGTGTATTCAGAGCCAGTGAGGAAGGGACTTTCAAACTAATAATCACAAAATTCGTCACAAAAACGTTAATGTGTGATAAAATAATTGTCGACGTTAATTTATTAATGCGTTCACGTGCCCAGCCCTACTTACAATGCAATATTAGTGTATTTTTCTTGGGGCCAGCATTTATCAAAGTGCAATAAAATACATTTATTTTTAGTTATCTTAATCTATATTTCAATTCAATTCAGCTTTATTGGCATGAATGTAAAATAACAATATTGCCAAAGCTCAAAATAAATTACAAAAGAACAATTAATTTCCTACAGTTCATTAAATAAAGTAAATAAAACTGTAAAATTGTGTGTGTGTGTGTGTGTGTGTGTGTGGGTGGGTGTGTTAAAAAATAAAAATAAAATATTAAAAATTAAAATAAAATAAATAAATATAACAGTAAATCTGTGTGAGTTTGTGTAGAAAATAATAGACAAAAACAACAATTAACAAAAATCAGTATCAAATGTGAAATTAAAAACAAAAAACAAATAAGGAACAATTACTAAAATAACAAACAATGAAAATAAAAATAATTATTATATATAATTATTTATTTATTTATTAGTCTAGTCTGAGTTTGTTTTTTGTCCTCGTGTTCAAAAAGCAAACTCAAGTTTGTGGCAATGATTTGGCATTCTGGCATTTCTCCTTATTTCTATATTGGCCATCGTCATTCATTTTCATGACCCCACACAAATAAACACTCCATTGAGGCACTAGACAAAGTCTTTGCTCTATCAATCTTCAGCTTGAGTCCAGGTCTTGATTTTTATTGGCCCCTCTCAACATAAATATGAGCAGAAACCAGTAACTCAAAAGAAGATTTTCTCAAGTAGGCTAAGACCAATAGTTATGTTAGCTTTAGTTAGTAAAGTTGTGTATAGAATTAGCCTACATATGGCACATGAAGCCTATAGGAGTACGCCACAGGTTTAGTATTTAGTATAAAGTTTTTAAACCTGTGAGAGACAAATTTGAAAAAGCATGGTCAAAATTGGGGCAGCAGCAGTCCAAATATCCTGACTTTTGCTCCCCAGTATCGGCCGAGATAGAATTTGGATAGCATCTTTTATTAGATCCTCCCTGCCTGCTAAGTGTTCATTTTGTCCCTCTAAAATTTTGACAACTCTGCCTCTGATTGGCTAGTACTCATTGTTTCCTTTGGATAGGTTTGGTAAGGTTATCAGAAGCAGAGTAGGGGGCAGGACTTTACGCAAACCTGGTGTCCATCAAGTGAAAGTTATCAAAAATCCGGTGGGAAACCTCCAGTTTGTGACACAGGCTTTGTGTTTGTAGTCTCCACGCCCGTACAGAGAAACTCTGATGACATAACTATGACACTGTCAATAACTTCTCCAAAGACACAGAAGACAGGATTCAACCGTTTTAACAGGCTGAGTACCATGACCAGTTAACTGATCTTTAAGTGTAAAATGTGTCCCCTTGAGGCCATGTGTAGCTTGTTATTATGGTATGGTCACTGCATATGCTCATATGCTGCATGTGACATTGGAAACTCATCAATTCATCCACTTCTGTCTACAAACATTCTACTCACTTTCTAGCTCATTCTTGAATTATATTAAAAACAGGTTAAATCACACAGTGTTTCCACATGACCACAATGCTAATTGTGTTTCTGTGTGTGTGTACATTTGCATCTCAGACATGAATGAGCACAGTTCCAGGAGTCACAGCATCTTCCTCATCAACATCAAGCAGGAAAACACTCAGACGGAACAGAAACTTACCGGCAAACTCTACCTCGTCGATCTGGCTGGGAGTGAGAAAGTATGTTACCATCCCTCACTTGTCCACCACCTCTCTTTGTCGCCATCCCTCTTCCTCTGTATCATGAAACTATCAGTTTCATGCATTTGCATTTTTTCAGTGTTCAAAAACCATCTGCACAGACCTGAACCAGGAAAATGGAGTAGTTTTAAGTTGCTTTTAAACTTAGTTTCCTTCATAGATGACTTTCTAGAAATGGACAGCCCTTTACTCTCATTTCAGTTGCTCCTGAAGGCACAGTTTTCTTGCCTGTGTTGACTGGAATGCTGCTGCTGCTGCTGCTTCCTTTCAGCAGGGGGCACTACAGTAATCAGTGATAAGCTAAAGATAGCTCAAAGCTGCAGTAAATCTGTTAAAATGCTTCGTCAACATTCTTCTAATAATCTACTCTTGTATCCTCCTGTTGTTCAATGATCATTTCACCGCCCCATCATCTTTGTTAATGTACATTTTGACTGTGTGGAGAATCATGGCCAGATTGTGAACAGTTATAAAGCTTGCTTAACAGAGTAATGCTGTAAAATAATAACATTGCTTCTAACGATACAGTCCAGACTCATTATAAGATCTCCTGTGTGTGTGTGTGTGTGTGTGTGTGTGTGTGTGTGTGTGTGTGTGTGCTTCAAAGGTGGGTAAAACTGGAGCAGAGGGCACAGTGCTGGATGAAGCCAAGATGATCAACAAGTCCCTGTCTTCACTGGGAAATGTGATTTCAGCTCTGGCAGAAGGCTCGGTAAGACAGTCAGCACTCTCTGGGGGCTGTTTGGTTTTCAGAGGGATCGGTCCTGTGCTCCCATTATAACTGCCATTAAATCGCATGGTTACAGTTTTTCTCAAACAAACTTGCAATTGTCAAAAAGTCACACCAAGTGGTACATTCAGCACACTACTCTCTGTCACCTGCAAAAGTTGATCACTCAATCAAAACAATTAATTCATGTTTCAGATTTAAAGAAACAAAAGGTTCCTTTATCATTGCTTAGACCAAGACGGTCAAAATGCAAAGACATCTTGTCAAATGACAGTGACAGTTGTAAATAAAACATTTATTTCACGACACTGTGGGCCAGCCCAAATTAGGCTGCACTCTCTGACCAGCCTCTGTCATACTAAGGTCATGGCTCATTACATGGTCTATAATTGTTGCCTGTGTCTCATTTGAGATTTCTCTGCATCTTTGCCTTTCTCTGGCTCTTCCTCGTTCTCTGTGGCCCCCTCTGCCTCTTTCTCTCACCCTCACCATACCACCCCATTGCTCTAAATTGTGAGGAGCTGAATTGTTCCCCATTCAGCCTGAATCCATCCATCTGACAACTTTTACAACAATTACCACATTACTGTTATGTATCTGATATCTGTATAACAGGTTATTGGGATTTGTGGCCACTTTATTTAGCATGTAGGGATTTACACAATGAACATGTGTGTATAATTGCATTTGAGAGAAATATGATTTAATAGCAAACAAATGCAAAGTATTTTGATCCGCAAGGCTTACTCAGTGCAATTTGTGCAAGTTTACTGTCATTCAACGACTGAGAAAAATTGTAATAATAGAAATGATGCCATACTCCAACAAACAAAGTATATCTAAAATTAAATATGGAAATAGTCAAGGCTCTTTATAAATGATCTTAGTAGAAACTCCATGTGTGCCCTGTGGATTTTAATTTGTGTCCTCTGTCAGAGCTATGTACCATACAGAGACAGTAAGATGACCAGGATTCTGCAGGACTCCCTAGGAGGGAACTGTCGAACCACCATGGTCATCTGCTGCTCACCATCCGCCTTCAATGACGCTGAGACCAGGACCACACTGCTGTTTGGGCAGAGGTACACAATCCCACACACACACACAAACATACAGATGATCAGATCTGTTTACCATACTGCATGGAAATCATGGGAATGATTTTTATGTGAGGTAACATGAAGCCAGGGACCGTTGTGGTGCTAAAAACACGAGTCGATGGCCTGTCATAAATAAATGGAACTGATAGTGAAGGCAAAGGATTTTATAATAATGTTGACACTGAAATTCTAGTCAGAATCACTTAAAAAGTTCTATATCTGTGCTGATAACAATCCAGACTCTCGTTGCATCGCTTCTCTTTGAATCCAACGACTCAATTGTGGTTGTGCACAGCCATTTGTCATCTCTTAAATGATTCCATAACACATTGTAAAAGGACATATGCAATCTATAATGCATGTCAGATATTACGTTTTCATTGTAATGGTAACGGTTCTTCACAGTATGAGACAAGAAGTGTAGTACTTCTGTGAAATTTAACATTTTCACAACAGTAACACTTTCCTGAAATTATTGGCCACTCAAACAAAAAGACCCCAAATACTTGCCCTTACTGCAGATGTTTCCATGGTGTGTCACAGGGCCTGTTCGCATGGGTAAATCCCAGGGATTGGACATAATGTCTTTACAAAGAAGGATGAACTACTGTGCTTTTTAAAGACTCACCCGCCTGGTTCCAGTCTTATTTTGTTACTCTAAGCTGTCTAACCACCTGCAGTATCAGAGAAAACACACGGTTGTCTGCAGGAGGGGTTGCGTGTTTAATCCCTGACACCCCTCAATGACCTACATTAGCCTCTTAATTATAAAAAGCACAATCTTGGTTAGTGCGATAGTTCTGCAGTTGAACCCATCTATAAGTGGCTGGGCGGGTGAAATTCAAAACAGATTGCTGCCATTTTCTCACCTTCCTGTCTCAACAGGGCAAAGACCATCAAGAACACGGTGAGTCTGAATGTGGAACTGACAGCAGAACAGTGGAAGAGCAAGTGGGAGAAAGAGAAGGAGAAGAACAAGACGCTGAAAAACACTGTCACCTGGCTGGAGACTGAGCTAAACCGCTGGAGGAACGGTGACGAATACACTGTCCAACAACATGTCACATTTTATATGCTGCATATGCTACATTATGACTTGGTGTGAGTCATTTAAACAGAGGCAGATGACCTTGAAGGGACTATATGCCTATGCGGAAATGTATGTGTACACACTGAGATTTGGGATTATATTTAATCAAAATCATTTTGGATTGTTTGACCTCCTTGTTCATAGCATATATTTAATATTTATCAGCTCTTCAGTTTTTAAAAAAGCTCAAAAATGTGAAGGGTCATGTCTGCCATACACTAATCTAGAAACATGACAGATCTAGTTGTCAGACGTCCTCATGGAGGAGATACATCACAGACACGCACAGAGACTAGAACTGATGCTCTTTCCTTGTTGTCCCCTGCAGGAGAGAGTGTGCCAGCAGAGGAACAGTTTGATAAAGAAAAGGCCAAAGCAGAGGTCCTGGCCCTGGACAGTGCACTCAACAACGACAAGACAGCACCCATACCTGCCCTCAGCACCCTCCCTGGGGTCAAACTCACAGATGCAGAGAAAGAGAAATATGAGGCAGAAATGGCCAAGCTCTACAAAGAGATGGATGACAAGGTGAGGAAAGATACACTCTCTTAACAATCTTACATTTGTTGAGTGTTCACATCTTTTACAACTTCTAGGAAAGTCTGGTCTTTTTTTCTGCATGCTTATGCTGTACACACACCAAGCATGTTTGTATGGACACACTGGAGCGTTTAAGCCTGGTTTGATCATGTCAGAAAAATGTCATTGCACTCAGGGAGTGCAACTAATCACACTAATTCACACAGCTAATGATACACGAGGCAACTTTTTGAGCAATCTTGCTGGGCAATCTTGCTAGGGGCAAGTCCGACTATGTTTTGAACAGATAGCGGCGTTGCGGGGCGGAGTGGTGGGGGAAGGGGATTACGGTAGTAATCTTTATTCATTACCATTGATGACAACGTTGCCCTGCACGATTACTCTAAAAATTCATCAGCTTCAGACCACCTGAAGTGATCTGAATTGAACAGCAATGTCAAGTACAGTAATGCATTACTGTAATACATAAACACAACAGAGGTCCCAGTATATTAAGTGTGTGTGTGTGTGTCTGTAAAATGTAGTGCAAAATAAATGATTCTCAGTGGTATGATAATGGCATTAATGGCTGATTTATACTATTTATGAACTACCTACACAATCATTTAGATATATTTGCTAATTTTCTTAAATTATCATTAATATTTCAAAAATAAGATGAATCATTATAGAATCAGAATCCGCTTTGTTGCTAATTAGATTTATATTTACAAGAAATTTGCTTTGGTATTTTGGTGCGTAAAAGTATAAGAGAAAGATAAAGCACTGGCACCTCACAGCAAGAGGGTCTTGGGTTCGAACCTTTCAGGGCTTTCTGTGGAGTTTACATGTTCTCCCCATGTCCGTGTGGGTTCTCTCCAGTCTGTCCAAAGATATGCAGGCTAGGTTCAATGGTGGCTCTAAATTGCCTTTAGGTGTGAGTGTGAGTAGTTGTTTGTATATTTGTTGGCCCTGCGATGGACTTGTGACCTGTCCAGGGTGCCTTATAAATTCTTACTTAAAGCATTTCATTGCCAACAAAGAACTTGTCTTCTGTGTCAGCCACTACCAAAAAAATCCTTTGCAGCAATAGACCTTCCTGAAACACAACTATAATATTTTATACCATATTGGTCTGAATATACAGGGGCTGTGGTTGAATAGTAATTTTTGCTTAGGAAGGTTCCTAACTGAGTGAAGTGACCGTGAAGTATTGAAGCGGCAGCCACGATAGCAGCTGGTCTAATTCTAATCAGAGGGAGTCAAACAAAAAAACAAGCACATTGAATTTCTAGATAACAATGTCATCATCATAATAAAATATGGTACACATACCAGGAAACTTACTTATATTTGTCATTTCAACATTTCAATCCTGTTTGTTTTATTGGAGACCATTAAACCTACCTGTTTCAACAGCTAATGGGTGTGTCCCTGAACATAACTGTGCACACAGAGATATGTTAGTGGTGGTGAATATCATGAATATTATACTGTAACCTGTGTTGAAAAATAAATGAACTATAAAAAAATTAAGGCACATCCATGCAAAATGTCTATTCCAAAGCCAGATCATCTCACATTTATATCTGATGAATGTATTATCACACAATAGTAATATTTGTAATCGGAAATCTAAATATTGCTAATATTGCTAGCATTAACAAAATTTGTCTCTGTACCATTCTTGCTCTCATACAATGGCTTGGTCTGGCTTATATGCAGAAATTTATTTGCCAGCAGATGGTGTGATTTAGTGCTGTTCAGTATTGCGTGTGGTTGTAGTGAAAGACAATTAGGGATGTTTTATATTTCTCTTTTACTCTCTCCTCTCCACCTTCCTTCACTTTCTTCAGGATGAGGAGATCAACCAGCAGTCTCAGTTGGTGGAGAAATTGAATCAGCAGTTGTTGGACCAGGAGGAGGTAACAGACCTTCGCCCTTCCTCTTCCATCCCCTCTTCCTTCCCAACTCTCCCACCGCCTCAGCCTTTCAGACACTCCTGTTAACACAAATCCAGTCTGGCAACAGACCATTAGTAGATTGTTTTTTTGCTGTACAGAAATGTATTTTGCTGATACAGCTATGGATTTCAGACTTTACTCTCTGTTCACCCCCTTTCCTTCCAAGCATCATTGTCTTATATTCACTTCTTATCCTCACCTGTAGCTCTTAGCCTCCTCCAGCCGTGATCACGACACCCTGCAGACTGAACTAAATCGGCTGCTGGCAGAGAACGAAGCCTCCAAGGAGGAGGTGAAGGAGGTGCTGCAAGCCCTGGAGGAGCTGGCTGTCAACTATGACCAGAAGAGTCAGGAAGTTGAGGACAAATCAAAAGAGTTCGAGGCTCTCAGCGAGGAGCTGAACGAGAAATCGGTACTTTTTATTTTTATCTGAAATTATTCATTTATCTGCTGTGGCTCAGGGGGTAGAGCGGCCCTCCACTTATCAGAAGATTGGTGGTTCTTCCCTGGCTCCCCCAGTCTGCATGTTGAAGCGTCCTTCGGCAAGACACTGAACTCTAAGTTTCTTCCAACCAGTGTGTGAATGAATGAGTTCAGTTCTCTTTCCAGTGAGCAGTTGGCACCATAGCCTCTACTCATCAGTGTGTGTAGTTTAAAGCTTTGAGTGGTCAGAAAGATTAGAAAAGTGCTATACAGACCATTAAGAATTATGACACCTGCCACAGTGTGTATTTATCTATCTTCTCATCCCCCACCAGAGCTCCTTGGCCTCCATTGACTCTGAACTCCAGAAGCTGAAGGAGATGACCAACCATCAGAAGAAGAGGGTCACTGAGATGACGTCATCATTACTCAAAGACCTGGCTGAGATAGGCGTTGCCTTGGGAAGCAACGACATTAAGGTTTCCAGTCCTATTGATGAACTGTTTCAAATTCAGAAATATACTAGGAAAAAGAGAATAAATTGACATTTTTGCAGAGCAAGAACAGTCTGTTGAAACAAAAATGACATGCTGATTTCAGAGCTACTTGTTCACCACAGTAGCTAAGACAACTTGCTTCCAGGTTATAGTCTTTGTTTGTCTTGTGTTCCTGTAATATAAAACTGTATTGTATTTGGTCTGCTCATTTACAATCTATTCATCATCACCAAGTATCCAGGTAATGCTCACATTGGGGATGGATTTGTGTAAAGGCTGTAGCAAACGATTATTTATCTTGTAATTTAATCTTTCATTTAGTACTTTCAATTGGTTTATAGAATGTCAGAAATAGTGAAAATGCACCGTTACATCTCCATTAATTTTCACAAAAAACAACAACAAACAAAAGCAGCAAACCCTCACAATTAAGAAACTGAAACCAGTTTATGTTTTGCATTTTTGTAAAATAGTATAATTTTATGTATAAAATATAATATATACCTCAAGTACTAGTGAGTACACTCTATAACTTGTTATATTGTGACAATAAACCTACCTACCTACACTGATACTTGTTAACAGCTTCATTTTGCACAGGTTTTAGTTTCTTGTGTATCCCTAGCTGTAGGGTTCAAATCATGCTCATTAAACTCCATGCCACACCAGAAAGGGCAGGTCAAGTCTCTCTTGTGGAAACATACAATACTGCTAGTGTGTAAATGGCAAAAGCCTTACTATACAGAAGTTTTGAGTGGGAAGGAATGAATTAGTCCATCAACAATTTTAATAATGTTCTAAATGAATAACAATGTAATTTGTCATTCATTCATTAATAAAGCAAAAATTACAAAAGATATGTTCCAAAATATGAGGATTTGCTGCTTCGCTTTCTTTAATATCATTGTAATTTAAATATATTTGGGTTTTTTACCTGTTGGCCAGACAAAATATATAATTTGAAGACATCATCTAGGACATTTTCACTATTTTCTTACAGTTTACGGACCAATCTATTACATAAAAATGAATCTGTTCCTTTTTTCTGTTTATATAGTTTGGTTTCTGTAAATGTAGGTTTCAGTTTCCTGTGAATCATTGGTAGAAATATGCAAAGGACACATTCATTCACAAAGAAAATGTTAGTTACTGTTAGTTATAGTTATACAGATCAAATGACAGAAACATGAATCACATCTTCTAAGCCCTAATTACTGTTTTCTGACCTCTCAGCAACAAGAGAGCAGTGGTCTCATAGATGAGGAGTTCACTGTGGCTCGTCTCTACATCAGTAAGATGAAGTCAGAAGTGAAGACGATGGTGAAGCGCAGCAAACAGCTGGAGAGCACCCACGCTGACAGCACCCAAAAGATGGAGGAGATGGAGATAGAGCTGACTGCCTGCCAGCTCCGTATCTCCCAGGTAACCGCTGCTTATCACTACTGCCTCTGCATCATAGATGCTGTCACCATAGTGACAAATATGGCAGTTAATTAAAATGGCAGATTATGGTAATCAATAAAACAGCAGTTTAACATGCTGATGGGTTTTTGCATGTCTCACCCCAAACCACTGTTTGTTCTGGGTGTAAAAAGAACTCTCATTGAATTTGTGGGCTTTAATCACACACAACAGTTTATAATCATTTTCACATATTTTTGTTGGTGTTCAGCATGAAGCTAAAATCAAGTCCCTGACAGACTCCCTCCAGAATGTGGAGCAGAAGAAAAGACAGCTGGAAGAAAATGTGGACTGTCTCAATGAGGAAATAGTCAGGATCAAAGCCCAAGGTGAGAACAACTGATTATGCAGTCATATAACAAATTCAGCATTAATTTGTGATCACAATTTTAAATTAAAATACAGCCGCGAGCGCCAATGATCGAGATCCAAGCAAGTCGTGGAAAATCGCAACATTTGACATTTTCAGAGGAGAAGAACAGATGCAGCTGACTTGAGAGATTAAAGTGATGAGAGAATTTGGACTTATAAGATAATTGGGGAAACGCAAACTTGATTTTTACAGCTTCACCTTGAGATCAGTGTCAATATATGTACCTGACTACTGGGTGAAATGTTCGGTCCACCTGCTTTGTGTTTCCAAGATTTAAAGTTTAAGCTGCACAAACACTTTTAAGCAGAGAAAAATAAGAAGAAAGTGTCACGGGATCCAAACAAAATAGAGCACTTAGACTCACTATGATCTGAACAACCACATTATGAGCTAGTCTGACTCAGTCACATGGGGATTTGAACCCTAGAACTTAAGATCTCCTGAGTAGGTGACTTAATGACTGAGCTACTGGTGAGAGGCTGTTGCCACACATCTTCTCACAAGTTGAGGTAGTGACATCCCATGTGCCAGACCCGGATAGTTTAAACTTTAAACGCTTGCAACAGTCAAGATGTTGGTGAGAACATTCTGAAAAAAATCACACATCATTCTACTGGTTTTGGGTGTGCTGTCTATTATTTTGGTGGCATTTGATCCAAAACTGAGAAAAAAAGAAAATGTTGTGCATACTGTACAAGTTTTATCAAGATTCTGAAGATCACTGCAGACTCACCGTTTGACCGATCTAAAAATCCTTTGCGACACTTGATATCGGCCATCTAGAGAATGTCTTTGTTGATTTTGGTAGCATTTGAAGAAAGACTTGTGGAGATATAGATGTTAATTGATTTAGCATATTCTGAAAAATATAGAGTGACTGACTTCTGAATTGACTATAGGTTGTAGTGAGGCAAACGTTAGTCACAAATCAGTGGATGTTCTGAAAACATCTCAGCTCTCTAGGACGTACGGGTGATGTTCTTAGATTTTTTGAAGTTTGGAATGAGCCACGCCCACTTTGAGCAATCATTACCAAATTTTATACCTCAACTGAGTAGTGACCCTAGATTGTACAAACCGAATTTTGTACGAATCCATGCAGCGAATTACGAGGTATAAACTTTTTGCGAGTGTAGAGCCCCCTAGTGGAAGAATATCCCAGGACTGCTCAGTGAAGCTCAGACCCAGCATTTGAACAGACTAGTCAAGTGTGGTGACAATAGCTTAAGCCAATTTTGATTTACGGGCATTTATGTAAAATTGTGCGTAAATACACAAAAGTAAAAAATTATGGGAAAAAAAACAGATTGGAATTATTTTGATAACTTTTGATCAGCGACGTCTGTAGATGATCCTGCCAAAGTCTCAGGTAAAATTGTCGAAACCGTCTGGGACCAGTTCGCAAAAATAGGTTTTAGAGAAAAGTGATAAAAAGTTGTATAATTTCACATTTGTAGAACAGAAGAGCATTGAAGCAAAGATGCAGATGAATTGAGAGATTAAAATGATGAAAGAAGTTTGACTCTAAACCATCGGCGTCGCCGGGTCATTTTTCCGAGGCTTTAGCCCCGAATGTTTTGACCGTAGCCCCGAATGTAACTCAACAACAGCAACAAAAATATTTTCCATGTTAATATGCAATAATCTTCATGATGCAGCCTTTCTCGCAAGTCTTCAAAGAGCGGCGGCTACTCGCAATAATCCTGCTACATTTTGTTTACCGTTACTCAGCCCGCCTGCGTTTCGAATGAGCACGAGAGAGCGAGCATTGCTCACAGCTTCAGGGCATATCTGCGACTTCTGAATTGTCCCTAGAAAAATTGTAATCAGTCAATTTAAATGTTGTCGGTCAGTGTCAGGTCAGTGTGTAGCTACACAAACGGTTAACAGACGCCGCAAAGTAGTGAGAGAATATCATGACACACCTGACCGCGACGCAGACACCTGTCCTCTGTGTCCTGCTGTCTCTCTCCTCTGTTTGACTGTTTCTCTGCTCCAGGATGCTTCATTCCCCCTAAAGCGGATGTGATCTGCACTTTTTCAGAAGTGCTGAAGGGAACATTTGTGTGAAATCGTTATGATATTTCTGTCTGATCACAAGTGTTTTCAGTTTCGGTTTTCTTCCTCTGATGAAGGGCAGTGCGCTCCTCTCATGGAGTCCGAATTGTCACCTGCCACGTAAATTTTGTCCATCCCTTTATAAAATAAAGACATTTCCACCATAATTTGGTGCAGAAAATGTTCACCCTGTTGAATATTTGGTCAATAAATAATTCTTTAGTGAATTCACAGTAATTAAGATAATTTATCATTGAGGCGAAAAGGGGCCATATGCACATTTGAAAAGACTTTAGGCTACTTCAGGAGTGCCTGTATGTATGTAAACTCAGCTGGGATTAAATTAAATGAGAAAAGTTGATCTACAGGAGAAACATATCTGACAGCAATACAGAATGCCTGACCGCCTTATTGCATTATATTACACTTTATTCTTCTTATTTTGAGACATTTCCTCAATAAATTGGTGCAAAGAAATTCACCAGAATGCAGAAAATTAAGTGTTCAAAGCCCAGATTTTTCAGGGGGAGGACCCCAATTTTATGCTATCAGTTTGAATTATTATCAGTAGTAATTATAAAATTCATAATAAATTTAGGCTACATATATAATTTACTGTTGCTTTATAGACATAATTTGGGTAGACGGCATTGGGGGGTGGGGGGTTAAAACATGAAAGATTTCTGTGCTGGGCTAAGCCCCCAATGTTTCAAAAGCCTGGAAACGCCCCTGCTCTAAACAAAGCCGTTTTGGAGATAATTGCAAAAACATAAAGTTGATTATTATAGCGCCACCATGAGGTCTATGAGGGCCATTTATTTTGCTTGACAGTAGTGGGTGGAATTTGCAACCTACAAGCCAATTTTGGTGAGTTTCTGTCCAGCAGTTTTTGCTGCCCAAACACAAAGAAGAAAGAAAGAAGAAGAACAGAACAAACCAATAGGGCTCCAGCAGCTTCACTGCTCTCATCCCTAATTAAACACAAAAACGTGAGATCTGACATATATGTTGGATACTACACACATTTATGCACATTATTCACATACATACAGTGGGTACGGAAAGTATTCAGACCCCTTTAAATTTTTCACTCTTTGTTTCATTGCAGCCATTTTCCAAAAATCATAAAAGTTCATTTTATTTCTCAGTAATGTACACTCAGCACCCCAACTTGACAGAAAAAAACAGAAATGTAGAAATTTTTGGAAATTTATTAAAAAAGAAAAACTGAAATATCACATGGTCATAAGTATTCAGACCCTTTGCCGTGACACTCATATTTAACTCAGGTGCTGTCTATTTCTTCTGATCATCCTTGAGATGGTTCTACACCTTCATTTGAGTCTAGCTGTGTTTGATTATACTGATTGGACTTGATTAGGAAAGCCACACACCTGTCTATATAAGACCTTACAGCTCACAGTGCGTGTCAGTGCAAATGAGAATCATGAGGTCAAAGGAACTGCCTGAAGAGCTCAGAGACAGAATCGTGGCAAGGCACAGATCTGGCCAAGGTTACAAAAAAATTTCTGCTGCACTTAAGGTTCCTAAGAGCACAGTGGCCTCCATAATCCTCACATGGAAGACGTTTGGGACGACCAGAACCCTTCCTAGAGCTGGCCGTCCGGCCAAACTGAGCTATCGGGGGAGAAGAGCCTTGGTGAGAGAGGTAAAGAAGAACCCAAAGGTCACTGTGGCTGAGCTCCAGAGATGCAGTCGGGAGATGGGAGAAAGTTGTAGTAAGTCAACCATCACTGCAGCAATCCACCAGTCGGGGCTTTATGGCAGAGCGGCCCGACGGAAGCCTCTCCTCAGTGCAAGACACATGAAAGCCCGCATGGAGTTTGCTAAAAAACACCTGAAGGACTCCAAGATGGTGATAAATAAGATCCTCTGGTCTGATGAGACCAAGATGGAACTTTTTGGCCTTAATTCTAAGCGGTATGTGTGGAGAAAACCAGGCACTGCTCATCACCTGTCCAATACAGTCTCAACAGTGAAGCATGGTGGTGGCAGCATCATGCTGTGGGGGTGTTTTTCAGCTGCAGGGACAGGACGACTGGTTGCAATCGAGGGAAAGATGAATGCGGCCAAGTACAGGGATATCCTGGACGAAAACCTTTTCCAGAGTGCTCTGGACCTCAGACTGGGCCGAAGGTTTACCTTCCAACAAGACAATGACCCTAAGCACACCGCTAAAATAACGAAGGAGTGGCTTCACAACAACTCCGTGGCTGTTCTTGAATGGCCCAGCCAGAGCCCTGACTTAAACCCAATTGAGCATCTCTGGAGAGACCTGAAAATGGCTGTCCACCAACGTTTACCATCCAACCTGACAGAACTTGAGAGGATCTGCAAGGAGGAATGGCAGAGGATACCCAAATCCAGATGTGAAAAACTTGTTGCATCTTTCCCAAAACGACTCATGGCTGTATTAGATCAAAAGGGTGCTTCTACTAAATACTGAGCAAAGGGTCTGAATACTTATGACCATGTGATATTTCAGTTTATCTTTTTTAATAAATTTGCAAAAATTTCTACATTTCTGTTTTTTTCTGTCAAGATGGGGTGCTGAGTGTACATTACTGAGAAATAAAATGAACTTTTTTGATTTTTGGAAAATGGCTGCAATGAAACAAAGAGTGAAAAATTTAAAGGGGTCTGAATACTTTCCGTACCCACTGTATATACACCCACCCACACACACACACACACACACACACACACACACACACACACACATGTATTTACAGTATATACACATAATATATGTATGTATGGTGACTTAACTTCTGATACAAAGATATTTTCCATTTCTGTGAGTCACTTTCTCCATAAGTTGTGCTTCTTTCATCATACTTTTCCATTTGGAGGTTTGTTTTTTTCCCCACTCTTTTAAGTTGGTTCAGTGCTGTGATTCTCAGGATACTTTTCATCTTACCTAAGACCAGTTGGAGGTTTTCCCAGTATGATACATATATGCTGCTTTTAAATACAGAGTTAAAAAAAAAACTCTTCTATAAACTTAAAAACATCTAACCAAAATGTATTTCATAGTTTGCATGAATAAAATATATATAAAATAATTAATTAATTATTTTCCTCCAGCACTGAGTGCTTGATCTTTGTTTATATCTACAATAAATTTTGGGGGTCAAGAAATATTCAGTTCATTTCAAAGGGGCTTTAACAGACTTTTACATTGCCAATACAAGTGTGAAATAAAAACATACCCCATGTCAGATTGTATACACATTGCCTATTGTATTTTTGAATTTTCCTTTTGTTATTGTTCATGACATATTTCAAAGGGGATCAATATTCTGCATGAATTTGATTTGTTTACTTTTTAAATAACCTATTTGCAAGTATCTATATAACTGATTATTTGGTGTGTTATTATGTTACAAAATAATAAAACAAAAGAATCCATCTTATGTTCAGTGAACATTTGCCAGAATTTAACCGAACCGTAATTTTACAGATCTATTGCATTTGGTTTAAATTCTGGAATTTCCTTCAAATTAATCATTTCATGTTCATTGATGTCCATTACCTTGCAAATTCTACTCCATATCTTAACTGTACTGGTGACACAATAGTTATTTATCATAAATGCATTTTCTTTCTTCTTGATTTTTATTAAACCTAATGATTGTACTAATTCCATGTATATTCCTTTCAATTTCGGATCTGCTGTGTCACTAATCCAAATCATTAAATGCTTAATCTGAGCATCATAGAAATTGCTACTCAAATCTGGCAATGCCAGCTCTCCATAATTTTCACTCTTTTTCTTTTTTTCTTCTTTTTGGGTTTTGGAACAAAAACAAACATCTGGGAAACATTTTCTTTATGTATATATGACAGGCCAGTGTTGTTCTTTTCTTTTTCCTATTGCTTCCTACAAAAGAAATGCTTACATATTTCTATGGAATTCAAAATTTCAGGAATTCAAAACAATTACAAATAGTTGTCAGGATGATAAATATCACACTGATAACAATTTATAATGTTATCACACTATATATCTGTTGAAATGATCATATCAGTATAATTCATCTGACATTTTGTGGATATTTTGAATGGAAATACAGTCGCTGATGAGGTAAATCCAGGTTGCTCCTTTTTATATTGGCAATAATGATTATAACATAGACTAACTTCAGCACAATAACAGTTGTTGAGATTGAAGTGTATAGGAAATACACAGTTGTCTTGGGTTTGAAGATGAGAAAGTGATGTTTTTGTGGAATACCACAAAAAGAGGATAAATCACAGAAAAACTGTAGAGCTGTTGCCCCAAAACACAGAGGAGCCTAGTTCCACAAACACTGAACTGCATATTGACATTTTGTTCACCTTTAGTTAAATTTTGATGTTTTTTATCCGCACATTGCTCTCGTCCATAAAAAGAGATGTATTAATTTAAAAGCTTGTTTACTGTAAATGGACATTACTGTTTGATAGGGACTCAATATCAGTGGTGGATGAAATTTTGAGATCTTTTAAGTAAAAGTTTTAATACCGCACTGTAAAAATACTCTGTTACAAGTAGAAGTACTACATTGAAAATGTTACTTAAATAAATGTATGCAAGTATAATCAGGAAAATGTACTTAAAGTATTAAAATTAAAAGTACTCAAAGCAGAAAGAAAAAGCAGCAACTCCTCACATTTGTGAAGCTGGAATCATGAAATTTTTTTACATAAAAACTTACTTACAATACAAACAAAACAGTTGCCAATTAAATTTCTGTCAACTAGCTGTACTTGTATAAACTATTGATTAATTTAATTTATAACTAAACATGATATTTTTTAAACTCTTCATATGTTTTGAGTGTAAAAATCTTGCTTTGTAAAGTAACTAGCAACTGAAGCTGTCAGATAAATGTAGTGAAGTAAAAAGTACAATATCTCGGTCTGAAATGTAGTGGAGTAGAAGTAGAAAGTGGCATGAAAATATAATACTCAAGTAATGAACAAATACCTCTAATTTGTACTTAAGTGCAGTACTTGAGTAAAGTAATTAGTTACTGTTCACCACTGCTTAAAAAATAAACATTATGTAGTTATTATGTTTTAAAAAATGGTCAACTAAAAGCATTAAAGGTTGCAGCAGTTGTAGCAGTATACACAGAATACTAGTTTATCAATGTCACTTTTGTAATATTTCTGTATCCTTTTAGAGAAAGTCAACACCATGGAGAAGGAGGATGAGATCCAGTCTGCAAATGAAGTCAAGGTACTGTACAACTAAGCTGTCGCTTACATGTGGTGGTCTCCAACTACAAGTTTTGACAATAGCTGTATGCTTGTGTGTCTTCAGGAAGCTGTGGAAAAGCAGATCCAGTCTCACAGAGAGGCCCATCAGAAACAGATCAGCAGCCTGAGAGATGAGCTTGACAACAAGGAGAAACTCATCACAGAGCTGCAGGAGTACGACACAACAGCATTATCAAACACTTGTCTTTCTAAATGTGACTAATAGTTCTGTACTGATACTGATACTGTTACTGACATCCGTGTAGTCTGAACCAGAAGATCATGCTGGAGCAGGAGAGGCTAAGGGTGGAGCATGAGAAGCTCAAGGCTGCGGACCAGGAGAAGAGCCGCCAGCTGCAAGAGCTGACGTAATTCCTCTACATATAGTGTAGTACCGCCAGTTTCCTATTATACTATTTGCATTATTTAACATCCATTTTTATGTTCCGCAGGGTGCTGCAGGACAAGCGAGAGCAGGCCAGACAAGACCTGAAGGGACTGGAAGAGACGGTGGTGAGTTACTGGCATGTCCATTTAAATCTTTATTTTACTCAAAGGGTGTCTGTGAAGGTTCTCAGTTATCCAGGTCATAGTTGTCCAAGGAAGGCACTGAAGTAGTCTCTTGGATGAGGGACGAAACGTCTTTGAGTATCTTCAACTAAGTCCAGTAGCCCTTGATTTTAACCTTCCTTGGATAACTAATGGGTGAGTTTGCACAAATTACAGAAAATAATTTTGATAATTTTACCATAATTTTAATACAATTAGAATTGACAAAGTGACATTTAAAAAATTCAACTGTAACATCTGGATCCAGAAATGTCAATCAATCAATTTTCAACCCCGAAAAAAATGTATGAACCATTTGCAGTGTGTCACAAAACTGGTGCAGCATCAACATTATGCACACGGTCCACTTTAAGCCTATGTGCATGTGTGCATATACATTGCCTTGGTACATCCTTTCTGAACCTTTCTCTTAATTTGTTATGTCCCAACATGAGAGAGGCGCTATAGCACTATAACACAACAGTTAAAATATACTGACTGAATATACTATACTGAATATTACTGACTGAGCATCGCCTTTTGCATCAGACATCCCAATAAGATGCAGCAGTTTAAGAAAATTACCCCTATTGGATGAGTCCTCATCCTCACTGTGGCTATGCTGAGATCCCCTGACGAGCAGTGTAGCATTCCACCTCAGCTTTCATGTACTTTCGGTTCTCCAGAACCAACTCTCAGTTTTCCTGGTCCTGCTTGTTAAGGTGTGTTCACAGTAAAAGCGAAGTTAATATTCGCCTCGCTTTAGTTTTGTGATCAGACAGAAATATCATAACGATTGACCGCTGGACATTTTGAGTGTTCACACACAACGCGATAAGTGAATAAACACAACCCGCGAATACTACAGCTGTGATTTAATTGCAATAAACAGATCAAACGGATGCCGAAATAACAACAATATGATGCTGATTTGTTAAACATATGAATTCATGCTTTGTCAGGTCTGTCAGCAAGCAGGACAACAACTTTTAAAATGTTTGTTTTCTGAATGGAGTTCAGATCGAGTTGGGCTATGCTATGCTAACCTGTTCACAGTAAAGTACAACGATAGCTATAATAAAGTTACAGACATATTTTCTGAACTCACCAGGTAGTTCAACTTCCTCACTTTCTTTTCTCCCAGCAATGTCCAGTTTTGTCAGTTTTTTATATAAATATGAGCTCTGGGCGCCAAACAGACGCTAACAACAACAGTGGAACCGGATGTGCACGGAAGCTAGCTGCCAAGAAGCGTGAGTGAAGATAAATCAAGTTTTAATCCCAAAAACTAAAGTGAAAAGCTAATTTAATAAAAGCAGTTAACTCCTAGCTCCTCCTGCGGGTAAACAGCGTAGTTGTCAGAGCAGAATCCAGACCGACTACAGGTATTTATTTGTCCAAAAGCTGCAGCGCTGCTCCCCGTACACTTCCCCATTCTTTAGCAGCTCTCCGTCGACCAGCGGATTGTCATTACACCGCTCACCAGGTCCTCTACAAACAACACTCTGAAGCCGCTGGTGACGTTTGAACAATTTCACCGCTGATTGGCTTTCACAACCTCGCGTCAAGCAAATTTCTCGCTCAAGTTGAAAAATTTGAACTTGCGCAAAGCAGAGAATGTTGCGACAAACGCCACTTTTGCGCCGCCCAGTGCGAATTCGCAGGAATTCGCCTCTCTGCATTGACTTTGTATGTAATCATGCCGCCAAAACGCTTGGTTTTTGTTTTAACTCACTCCATGATTCCAACGCAAATTTATGCTCCACACTTTCATGATGGCTTTTCAAATATGCTGTTACTTTCCGCCAGTTAAGGAACTTGTTGTAAAATGCTAGCTCCAGATGAAACCTATGCCCTCCTTTTAAAAAATGTTGACAAGCAAAGCAAATCGCTGCATCTTTACACACACTATATTTATGCAGACAGTGAAAACCAGTCTTAAATTATCCTTACAAACCGACTTGCCGATCCCGAGATCCCGAGAAAAAATTATGCCGTTATCACAGGAAAACAACATTCATTATCTCATTAATTGTTTGAGTTGGTGCATAGCCTTCCTTCAGTGTAGTGTCTATCTCTCCATCCGATATGTCCAAGCATCCAACACCATCTTAATCTATCTTTCTGATTTACTCTTTGTTTCACATGCGCATCCCGTGGCTGATCCACGATCAGTGGTGTGGTCAGGGACACTACAAGTCTATTTGCATATTTTCTAAAGATTTAGCTTAATGTTTATCATTGAGATTTATATTTAACATTTAACATTTAGATTTAACATTTAACATTTAAATTTACATTTAACATTCAGATTTAGATTTAACATTTAACATTTAGATTTATTAGAGAGATACTGTATACACATTATATGTACTATGGATTTGGGTCACCAACATTGAATGTCAAATCACTTAATCACTGACAGCTGTGTCAATATGTCTATTTCTGGTAAAAAATCAGTGTCCTTAGTGTTGCCTGAAAATCTCCCAAGGACACTTCCCAACATTAATTCCAGAGGTACAGTACATCAATCAAAAGAATAGTGCACACCTTTAAAGAAATGTATAGAAGCAGACCCCTTTTATAGATATTAACTTTTGAATGAGCAATTCCAATTCAATACCAATTTCAGCACAACCGTTATGAGTCATTGTAGAATAAATACAAAAATACAGTATAGAGAAAGTGCAAACTATCCACAAATGGAGTAGACAGGTCAGTATTTCATTTACATAGACCAGAGTCATGACATTTAATGTGAAAATTGAAAAAGCACCACTCTCTCTAAAGTACCACATGTATGTGATTGGATAACTTTTTCTACACCAATATGCTGGAACTTGGTAACTGAATTATTGCTTTATATAAAATGACGAGCAATATGAGAGAGGATTTAATTTCATGCCATCTGATGGCTAAATTATGTTCTGAGATCCTTCTTCATTTTATTAGTAATGCTGTAATAGTGTAGTGAAATTCTTTTGACTACACTTTCAAAGCTCCTTGGTGAAGCCTTTAATATCCACAGACTGTTCTTTTCTCTGAGTTGGGTTTCCTTGCCTCCATACAGGCCCGAGAGCTGCAGACACTCCACAACCTCAGGAGGCTTTTTGTCCAAGACTTAGCCACTAGAGTCAAAAAGGTATGTCTTGACAGTGTGTACATGTCCTCCTGTTGTCTGGAAGATGATTGGTCATGGTACATTATCGGTGTAATTATAATCCTGTGATCAGGTTTTGTGTGTGATTTCAATCTCTAATCTAGTGTAATGTCACAGGAGCCCTTGTTGTCCAAACCACGACATTTACCTGCAATGAGACAATCAGATCCATATTTCACTCATGCACCGGCTGCACTCCATTTAATTTGCGCGATGATGAAATGTTAATGAATCCAGGTAACACATCAGAAAGTGTTAAATAGTGATAAATAGGCCATTTGATTCTTCAATGGTCGTAGCTCCAAATTAGGGACCCAGGCCCTCAGTGTGGCACTCCAGCCCCCAGACTGAGGCTTGCTGAGATAAACAAAGGCAAAGCAGGCATAAATGGGATGCTTTGCTTATAGACATTGTGTTAGAAGAACTGAAAGCAACAAATCAGATAAACTGATAAATGAATGCAGAGGTACAACATGGATTGGAATTGGTTTACAGATAAAGCTGTGTGTTGTGCTTGTGCAGAATGCTCAGATGGACTCAGATGATACAGAAGGCAGCGCTGCTCAGAAACAGAAGATCTGCTTCTTGGAGAATAACCTTGAGCAACTCACTAAAGTGCACAAGCAGGTACAAATATGACCAAACGCACAATTACCACAGCACTTCCTCCCTCTCCTATCCCTCTCTATCCCTCACTCTTTGTGCGATCTTTTGTCCCTTCTGTAGCTGCTACGGGACAACGCTGACCTTCGCGGGGAGATTCCTAAACTGGAGAAGCGCCTGCGGGCCACCGCTGAGCGGGTCAAACCCCTGGAGGCTGCTCTGAAGGAGGCCAAAGAGAATGCAGCTCGCGAGCGAAAGCGCTACGAGCAGGAGGTGGAGCGCATTAAGGACACCATCAAGCCCAAAAACATGGGCAGGAGACCCTCGGCACAGATAGGTAGAACACAGATACACATACTATATGGAACTATATCTTGTACACGACTAAAAATAGAGTCATAGCCAAAGATTATTTTGAGCCAACAGACAAGCATCAAATCTTAAATCAAAGAAATAGTTTGGCATTTGGGGAAATACCATAAACAGCTAATCTGACTGTCTAAATTTCAAGTATGCACCTACCAACACCTTTAAGCTCACTAAATGTACAAGTACTATGTCTTGTTTAATCCGTAGACAGACAGAAACGTTAAAAGGAAATTTGTGCTTTTACAGTGAGGTATGTGTTGTGACTATAACTCCCACAAAAACCACATATCATGTTTATTGTCATTTCTGCTTGTGTACAAATTAAACAAATGAGATATAACATATAAATTGGCAAGCTTTAGTGTTAGGTGGTAGGTGTATTTTTTTTTTTATAATTTGGACGGGGCCAGGCTAATTACTAACCCCTGTTCGCAATCTTTACGCTATAGGCTAACTGCACCCTGGCCCTAGCTCCAAACTTAACACACAAATCTGAGACTCCCTGTCAGTCAGAACTGAAGAAGCCTATTGGATAAGAGGTGAAACGTCTTCAAGTATCTTCAACCAAGTTTAGTTACCCTTGGTTCAACCCTCCTTGGATAAAGAAATAAGAACTGTATGTATAACTCTGAATAACATGGGGTGTCTTAACTTGCTCTCTGTATGTGACCCATGGTATCTCTCTGTGTCTAACTCAGCCAAGCCCATCAGACCAGGCCAGCTGCCGGGAGCCTCTCCCATTAACCCCAGCGTCAACAGATCCAACCTCATCCAGAACAACGTCAGGTATGAAAAACATACTTCAGAGTCTGTATTATGTTCAGTGACTGCTTGATCATAGCCAAGTGTGTCAATTGTACTTAATGATTTACTTATGATTGGCTGAAGAAGACATTCTGAGATTTTGTATTTGCATTATGTATTCATTATCCAGGTAAGACATCCGAAAGATAACATGTAAATGCAAGGGGAGATTCAGTTTGGTTCCTTTTCTCTTGTTTTTCCCTACAGCTGCTGAGAATGGAAGCACAGTCACCCAAAAAAGAAGCCAAAGCCCCAGACCCAAAGGAATTTTAATTCCAAAATAACAAACTTTTACCTGGAACCACTGCCACAAAAAACAAAACAAAAAAACAAAACACATTACTGCCTTGCAAAATCAACACATAATGCTGTTTTAACAGCAACTTACAAATATATTAGCCAAAACTGTGCCAACATGAATGTACGTATCACAACTTGACGGACCCCTGAACACTAGAAGGCACTACTGTCATGCTTATCTACTGGTATTGCTAAGAATGGCTTTGTTATGGCTCTAAAATAAAAAACATGTAATAGTACTTATTTAAGTACAATGTCTGGATTAATGTTTTCTTTTATCTTATTGTTGTTGCATGCTCTCATAATGTATGATTTATTTTTAAAGAGGTGGTATTATGCTCATTTTCAGGTTCAAAATCCTATTTAGAGGTTGTACCAGAACGGGTTTACATGGTTTAATTTTCAAAAAACACCAAATTTTTTGTCATACTGCACATTGCTGCAGCTCCTCTTTCACCCTGTGTGTTGAAGACTTCGTTTTAGCTATGGAGTGATACATCTTGCCTCTAAATGATCTTTGTTGGGAGTTGCACATGCGCAGTTCCTAGTTAAGGACTACTAGCCAATCAGAAGCAGAGAAGGGCGGGCCAGCGAGAAGCCGGTAAACAGCTTCAGTTCATCTGTACATCGTTGCCGACCAGCTTGGCAACATGGACTGGAGCAAGAGTTTCAGAGTGGTGAGTTATTAATCTGTAACAAATGTATCTTTCATCCATTAAGTTTTAACTGAGCTCTGTCTCTACATCACAGTAACAACTTTATGTCCATTGACTGCCTGGAGGGTAACTAGTGTTTGGAAGGGAGAGGAGGTGTGCTGCAGCTCAGTATTTTTCCACTGGTGTTTTTTGTATGACGTGCATTTGAAGTGGCTGGACTACATACGATCTGTTTTCAAGCAGTTCAGAGAAGTGTTTTCTGTGGGAGATGGGAACTCCCAATTTTCACTTTGCAAACCTATTACATGCACAAAAAAGGTATATAAAGGAGAGGGAAAATGGCCAAAAGCATACCACCTCCTTAAATGTCTCTGTAAAATTTATTTTAGAATTGTTTTTGGTTTTTTAAGTTTTTAAGACTATGTAACAACTGAACAACAATGTCTTTTGGCTAGCTCTAGCGCATATAGATGCAGGAGGAGAGAGATGCCACAACTTACATAATCACACTCAGCAGCCTCTTTGAACATAACGTTAGCAGAATAGACAGAAGAGGACATTGACAGAGGAAGCTAAGAAGAGAATGACCAAACAAGAGGCCGCCAGTGTTCCAGACGTTCCTTCCTGAAATAAAAGACAGACGCCAAGCTGACATTCTTTCTGTTGGACTTTTACATTAAAAATGTAATCCAGTCTAATTACTAATTACTTGTTAAAAATGTAATCAGTAAAGTAAGCCAAGTACCACAATATAAAAGTAATGTAACCTGATTAATCTTAGTTACTTTTGGATTTCAATACCAACTAGAAAAGCAATTCCTGAAGAAATTGCGGTGTGAATACTGTATGCTGAAGGGCTTGCAATAAACTGAATTGCTATCTTTAAAAAAGTTGAATAGTACAAATGTATGAAAGATGTGGAACGTTTTGCTGAAAAGCTGATGCTAAACTGAATTGCTGTCTTTAAAAAAGTTGAATAGAACAAATGTATGAAATATGTGGAACATTTTGCTGAAAAGCTGATATGAAAGATGTGCAATATTTTTATGATTTTTGAAAGGCTTGCGCTAAACTGAATTGCTGTCTTGAGCAAATTTGAATAGTACGTAATGTAGGAAAGACTGGAAGGTTTTAAGGATTGTTAAAAAGCTGACGCTAAAATGCATTACTGGCTTTAATTTGCATGAAGCAGCTGAAGGACAATGAAAACTTGGAAACATGGGAAATGTTCTAAAGAATATGAATAAGATTTTAAAGTTGAATAAACTTCAAATTGCACTGATATATGTAGAACATTTTAAGGTTTGAATGTAGTTTTTAGCTGAAAGATATGAAGAAGTTGAAGAAATGTGAGAAAGTCCCAAGTGTTGTAAAGATTTGACCTGGGATCTTTAGAAGAGAACGAAGACTTGGAAAATTTCAAATGGTGTAAAAAAGTATGAATGGGACATAAGCGTGTAATTCCCACAAGAGATGAGCCCAGTGCGGGTGGTGTCATCTGCACACTTCAGGAGCTTGGTGGTCTGGTGACTGGAGGTGCAGCTGTTGGTGTTCAGGGAGGAGAGCAGAGGGGAAAGAACGCAGCCTTAAGGGGAACCAGTGCTGACAGTCCTGGAGTCAGAAACATGTTTTTCCAGATTCACGTGCCACTTGCTGTTGGACAGTAAGTCTGTGATACACCTGCAGGCATGCTCAGCAGAGCTGGAATAATGTTGTTGAGTCCACAAAGTACCTAGTTCCTGGAGAGTCCAGGTGCTGGAGGATGTAGTGAAGGGCCATGCTCACTGAGTTGTCCGCATTACATCATCTCAATCAGTTGTGTGCTGAGCCTGCATTCTAAGGTTGCCATGGTGATGATAAAAGCTGTCTGACTTAGACAGGCTTAGAAAGCTGCTCACATTGAGTTTTAACCTGAAGCACAGGTCTGCTTCTCCTGCTCCTACCAAACAGACTGTAACTCTCAGTACAAACATACTGTTAGAGAGATAAGATCCTCATGAAGATGATGTCTGAGATTTGTGTGTCTACTGTCAAAAATGTATCCACAGCAGCAATGTAAAAATGTCCAACTTTCTGCTTCTTTCCTGAAACTGCAGGACTCATTTACTATGGGAGTCTATGCGGCAGTTGGCTGGGATTGCTCTCACTTTCAAGCTGACTGTGCCAGCTGTGAAAGTCTGTTTGCTTTCAAAGTTCACCGGCAGAACAAGTTTTCCTACAACTTGTGAAGAGATTATGTATGTAGAGTGAAAGCTGTGGAAGATACAGTGAGTTGAAGATTTTGAAGTGAATTCCCATTGTGTCAGTTGGTCCTCCCACTCTAGCTGGCAACATTCCGTCCCATAGACTCTCATTATAAACTCAGAAAACGACATGAAACTTGACTTGCGATAGCGCAAAAACTATGGCTGATGTGAAAATGTGGAATTAACTGGAAAGAGTCCAAAAGTTTGTGAACGTTTTAAACGTGGAATGAAAGACAAGAGAGTATCAAAGCTGCATTGTCTGTTCAGTGTATTTTTAGAAAACATACAATTTAAAAATCTCCATTCCCGTGAAATCAAAATCAATGTTTAAATGTTTTTACGTGGTATGTCTTGCACTGTAGGTCACCAGTATGCCAGTGTCTGGCCCATCAATGATAAAAAACGTTTTGTAGGTATTCTTGAAATGTTGATGACTCATCCTGCAGTTGGGGGCCTGTATTAATGTAGTGTCCAATGAAAAGCTTTTTCAGTTATCATGATTGTGCTGAATATAGTGTTTCTGGGAGCCGACCATGCTGACTGATTATTGTACGAAAGTACAATTCTATTCACTGATTTTGCTGAAAATGGATTATATTTGATGGAGAAGATTCTGGTTTTCTCTCTGATGTCCCCTGGCTGCTCTACCTCATCTCTGTGATTTAGGAGTTTCTTGATGGACAGATAGCTTTACTTGTTGCTGAAGTAAGTTAGCAGCTAACTGAACTGCTGCTAACTAGCAGCCTAATAAGCTCTGCAACTACTGGTCGAATGAGCTTAGTGTGCATTCAGACCAACCGCAAATTTATGCTGCATTTACATGCTCCTCGGATGGTCCTAGTTCCCGAGTTGTAAAGTCATTCTTCTGACTTCGGTGTGTTTATTTGCTTTTAAGTTGGAATGTGGAAGCAACAGGGACGCTACAAAGAAGATAAGTTCTCACAATGTGTAAACAACACATAGACATCTGTTTCCAGTATTTGTGTGACTGCGAATAGCAAAGGAAATGGATCAGGTGAGTGATGACATATGAATAATTTAAAACATGCAAGTTAATCATAAAAATGTCAGCATTTGCTCAGAAGTCTGATGTTAGGTGCTTGTAAGAGATAGACAGCTTTCAAGTGATAAAACTGTCATTTAGCAAGTTCACATTAAAAGCTGCTTACGGAGCAGACCTTTTTATTATGTTAACTGGTTCATAAGTTATAGATGTTGATTAGGGACAGAATCCAGTACTGAGATGATTTACAGAGCTTCTTGATGGACATAAGATCTTGATGGATAGCTTTACTTTTTGCTAAACCAACTGTACAATATCTGTCTGTAGCTAGTTTACTTGGTTAGCCTTGCAGAAAGTGGTCCTGTTAGCTCAGCTCAACTCAGCCCCAGGGTGCTAAGAGCCAAATTGCCTCGATAGCGTATTCCGAGTGGTCAAACTGGCTTATGTCAGTCTCGGAGTCTGTGCTCAGTCCCGGTCTGGCAGTCATGTTCACTTACTGAGAGCTGGAACCAGTCTGCACAGTCTGCATGACGGGGTAGGGGCGTAACGCACATTCAACTACTGGCTACTGTAAACGGCAATCAGTATCTGCGACAAGTCCCTCCCTAACTTTGTGTTTTGACTTACACTCTGAAACGGTAGGGTTGCCAAATCACACATAAACCCACATAATGTTGCTTTAAAGAAATCTGACACTATACAATGCAAAATGCAAAACACTATAATAAAAACATTGTAACAACATCTGTATAAGAAAACTTACAATAAACTATACAAGAAATGTTCTCCCCCTTCATTCCACTAATTACTTTCATGCATGCTGTACACACAGCCTCCCCTGCACTCCATGTTCCCCACCCACATGCTCCCAGACATGATCTCAAGGTACTGAGTGAGCTTTTGTAGTTACTAATCTTTTAACATTAGCAGTATTTTAATGTAACAGGTTGGTGCAGGTGGAACATATTTTAACTACTTATCTGTATATCACAGTATCATATTTTATGAATTGATCATATGTTTTGTTCGTAAAATCTTAATCTGTAAAGTAACTAGTAACAAATGTTAAGTATATTTCCTTCTAAAGCGTAGTGGAGTAGAAATATAAAGTAGCATACAATTGAAATTCTCAAGCAAACCAAAATTGTACTTAGTACAGTACTTGAATACATGTACTTAGTTACTTTCCACCACTGCTGACTGGCTTTCCATCACTCTTCTTATTAACTGCCATTGCTTGAAACTATCTCAAAAAGACAGACACTTTGTTTGGTAAAACATTAATAATGAGACTGCATGTTAAAATGAGAAAAGGAGGTGGAAACTGAAACTGAAAACACTTGATCAGGCAGAAATCTCACCATAAATCCACAAAGATGTTAACTTCAGCACCTCCTGATAAAGTGCAGCTCACAGTCCCAAACAGGGTAAGACTGGCTTCAGTTTTTAGAACTCTACCAGTTACGTTTACGCTCAGTCACAAACTGGCTGCAACTCACAGTGCAAAAACAGGCAGTCTGCTGCACAGTCACACCTGACACCATAATGCTCTCACTACAATCCTCCCTCTGTAAGAAGCCTGAGTGGAAACCACTTCTAGAAAAAATCCAGTGCTGGTTTGAATGGACCTCTGCGCACTAACTCCTCATGAAGTCAGATAAGACTGGGGGCCAATCTGCTGCGTCATTTTGTAGAGCAGCAACTGTTCCATTAGTGTCTGAACTGCTTGGATCTGATGCTGGCTCTACATCTTTGGCTTTACTCATACTGGCTGAGGCTGGATGTATTTCACCTGGGTCTGTGGGACCTGCTAAAAAATTCTGGACTGGGTCTCTGCTGGTACTGACTGATGATCTCATCCCATCTACTCTACTGACAAACTTAAGCATAGCTCCTGTAAATTATACATATTTTCTACATATTAATGTCATCAGCTTCACCAGGTCCATTCCAACTGGCTCCCTCAGGTTTCCTTACTGTTATACTATTTATACTCTGACTTGCCTGAATATGTGATGCTTATTATTTACTGAGATGTTCATCCATATTTCCCAGTCTGCCCCGCTTATCAACATATTAATATTCAATGTCAACTTATTGTTTTCCATGTTCCATTTGTCCAGAGTTGTAACTAACCCTTGCCTGAGAGACAGATAATCACTGCCTTGAATTCAAATGATGTGCGCCTAAGGAATCCCCAGCAGTCATCTTTTCCAAGTTACAGTTTATAACCGTGGCCAGTCTGTGTTTATCAAACGTAATAAATAGTTATTTTTCACTCCAATTACATTTGTTTTCAATGCACCTGCTCCACACAGTTGCTAAGTGAGAGTAAAAAGTTGCAACAACTAAAAATGCTCAGAAAAAAAAACACTTAAGTACTGTAACAAAGTATTTGTACTTTGTTATTTTCCACCACTGACTCCGGATAAGCGGTTGAAGATGGATGGATGGATAACTTGTGGAAGTGAGCTAAGATTTGATTAGAATAGAAAGCCTTGAAACTACTAATTATAAACTACTATTTTGAATGGAAAATGAATTAATTCACTATGATATCCCAGCAAATGAATAAGTAAATAATGCATAAGTTGTCATATCCCAAAACATGCACATTATCAGTCCTTAAATTTCAACAAACAATACTGAAGTAACTGTGATCAACAATGCTCAATGTCTATCACCTCCCTCCTTTCACCACCAGGGTGTGCTTTCACACAAATGTGCTAATAGAATGAGAGAAGGGATGTGATTCAATGCCTGTATGGATGTGCATTATTTTGAAATACTGTAAACTTAGAGTTGTATTGCCTAATGTCAGTCTTTCTATAGCCTGAGTGTCCTCTATTGAAGACTTGCTGTGTTCCTGGATCATCCAAGCTCTAAATCAGTCATGACCCTGCTTGGATGGTGAAACTCCCTGCTGTGGTTGCCAGATAGAGGTTGGGTGGAGAGACAGAGAGGTGTGTGTGTGTGTGTGTGTGTGTGTGGGGGGGGGGGGGGGGGGGGGGTCCTTACATGTTTATCCCAGAAATTCTAATAATCTTAATCTTAATCTTAATAATCTAATCTTTTTATAATTGCAATGTGTGCAAGGTGAAGGAAGTAATCCGAATTTAACAGGGGAACCCCTGGAATTCCGTCAAAAGACCCCTGATTGTCCGGGGACCCTACGTTAAGAAGCACTGGACAGTGAGGTGTTGCACATTAAGCAGCCGCGGGGCTTTGGGCGCCGTGTGTCAGCGCTGACTGACGGGGGGGGGGGGGGGGGGGCGACAGACCAACGTCTGCTGGATTTAAGACCACATCTGCGTCAAGCTAAACGGAAATATAGGCTACTGACTAAACCTGCAATTTTCGAATTTGTCTTCAAAATTTAATGAACACTTTTGCCAAAACAATTTAGGCTAACTAATGGTTGCATGGAAATGTGTATTTAACATCGCCAACATTTGATCACATATGGAGACACCTTAATAAGCCTATAGCACCATTTATTATAGCCTACTGAACGGCATCAGTCATTCAACACTTTTTGGTAACAAATTCCCCTGCACTATTGTGTGGTTTGAGTAGGTGTATAATTTGTGTGTATAAATTCACCAAGCCAGCATAAGATTTCAGTGTAAATTCATTCAAATTCATTTTCATTGAAGTAGCAACACACATTAACAAAGGTTTCCCATTTCCCACACTTTAATAATAGGTAGGCTATATGGAAAATTGTGACCAAAGTTTCATTCAAAAGAGAAAACAATTGAAAAGAATTACACTTTAATATAGCCTACTACACTGCTAATTTTTGTATTATATTAACTATTTTCAGCTTCTTTGCCTCAAGACCCAACGAACAAAAAATGCAGGTCAGGTTCGTCAACTGGGCCTATAGCCTTTACTTTGAAGGTTTTGAGCGGATATGCCGTGTGTTTGCTACAACGAGCTTGACAGCGTGTAGAGAGGCGGGGGATTGCGAACAGACGGACTGAAGGTCTGCCGCGGAGCAGGCGACACTGAAATAGATTGGAAAAGTTCCTCTTAACTACCCCTGCGTTCGACGCGAAACAGAGAGACGCCACTGGAGTTTTTGAAGGTTAGTATGTTTCAGTTTTGTGGGGGGGCTTTTCTGTCGCCTGGTCAGCGAGAGGCTATTGGCTTCTGTCGGAGTTACTTTGTTGCTATGCACGCTGTTGCAGATCGGAGGGTTTGTATCCAAGTGAACCTGCAGTGCTTTTGTTCCGGCACGAAGCCTTTGGAAATTGTCACAAAAAATGTCTTCCACCGGTAAAATATCCTGAATACGGACATTGTTTTTGACATGTCTGTTTTTAGATATTTCAACAGCTAGGTAATTAAACATTCCACGTGATACCATCAGTGTGTGTGGCACACACCTACATTGAGTTGAGCTTATTTTCTAGCGTTGTGTTTTGCTATTTGTCGCCGTTCGGCTCGGGGGAGTGGGGGGGCTTTCTTTGCCAGGCACGTCCTGGGAATCCTTGATGATGTCGAGTCGAGTCCTTTGTTATGAATGCACATGGATTAAAGTCCTTTGTGTTGTATTTCTGCAGTCTGCGTGGGGCTGGAGGAGACCCTGCCCCCCACCTATGCCCCCGCCCCGGCCCTGGCTTGCTTTAGCCCCCACAATTTATAGACACAAGGTGCCTGTTTTCAGGGCTTTTACAGGCCAACGCATATCTACATGTGCAGCAAATAACTCGCATAGATGGACTGAAATGCAGCAGCACATGTTGGAGTGGATGCTGCTCGGCCACATCTGTTTTGAATGAAGCACAGGGACAAAGGCTGTCCGACACTCGGGGTGTTTTGCTGCTACAGTGGCTGGTCTGCAGATGTGTGCCGACAGAAGCACGGATCTAATCTCAGTGTTGATGCATACCTTGGTTTTCTGCCAGCTATACTCCCGATTGAGTTATAGTTTTGAGCGCTTTGTCACAATGCCATTTAAATCTGAGCATATTTGGTAGCTGATTACTACAGGTTCCTCTTACAGCATTTCATTACAGAGGCATGTGGACAAGTGGCTCAAAATATTTTTTTACATTAACATATCTACCAGAGTAGTCAGGAATCTGTCATCAGAGTTTTGTTAGTGGTTTAGGGTTTCTTCAGAATTACATATCTGTCCACAGATAAGATCAAATACATTTTCGCTGCAGTCACATCTGGAAACAAGAACAGCAACAAATTCTACATTATAAATGTCACGGAAGATCAGGTGAAGTATTGAAGTTTTAAAAACTTTGTTAATTAAGGCAATCTAATAGTTGTGGGTGGTGTTTGGCTGTAGCATGTGCACAAGTGACATGAGTACTACTGTAAAACATGACACATTGTTACTGACCCTCGGGCCCCACTTTGAAAACCACTGCTCGATTCCCAAATAGAAAAAAATAGCACAGTTGGGCACTCCTCTGAGACTCCCCTTTACTCTGACACCATGTGGTGACAGGGATTCAGTTGCAGCAGGATTTACTCTCTCAGCTCCTCTGCCAGCACTCTGAGAAACCACAGCAGATGAAAGAGGAAGTGGAGTTGTAAATTTCTGCTGTATTGTGTCTAAGGAGTCAGTTTTAATTTATTGTTAACAGTAGATTTTTTGTCATAGTGACTCAGTTGTAGGTCCCTGCAAAAGTTAGTGATATCATGCTTGATCTCCAGCCAGCTTCTGTTTCTTTAGGGTTCTCAGGGTGTTGATAGGCCTTCAGAAAGGGAATTACAGTTACTCCACATATGATCATTTCAGTTTCTATATTTGCCTTTTCTGTCTTGCCAGTTTAGTAATCAGCTGACACTGTCTGGAAAACGATTTTGATTATACTGGTGTATATTTGGGAGGCTTCATTTTTTGGATAAATGTCTCCAACTTCACATGCTAATGGTATGAAGAGGACATTTAGGCCTACGGACAGACAAAATTATCATTCCAGGTTTAATCCTTTATCTTAGAATGCAGTATACACAGCTGAAACTCACGTCTCAGCAGCACTGTGAACTCACTGTGAGGACGTCGAGACGGTTGCTCTCGTGCAACATCAGTGATAGTGGTTGTTATCATGTGCCTGAGCTCTGACAGACTCCTGACTGCATCCCTGGCACCTCTGGTGATGCTGCATACTGTAGATTGTGTCTGTGTGATGTTAGAGGTGGGGTTACATGAGGATTTGTGACTGATTGCTCATTCACTCCAACACAAGGTGAACAGATGGGAATGGGTGATATTTGGGACAGGGGAGTTGGGGGTGGACGTGGCCTCCAGGAGATTCTAGTCAGTGTCAGCGAACAGTACAACAATTTAAGTCAAAGATATTTGTAGAAATTTTATCAGTGCGGTGCCTATCACATCAGTCAGCATGTCAGATCTCTCCATTTCCGTGGCTGACTGCAAATACACTTCCCCTGTCCTCGCGACAGCAACTTCCACTATCTTCATCTACACTAGAAAATAAAAAGAGGAAAAGAGCACGAGTGTTACTCTGCGGCTACAACAACGCTGTTGACACTGTGTCCAGATACCCTGCGGTCCCTGCTGCAGCCAATGGAGAGCTGGAACAGTGTCCATCTGTGGGCAACACCAAAATAATGTTTAGTATTTAATGTTTTATTAGGCTATAACTCCTTAAAACTCAGATTTAGTCAAATTTTCAGGACAAATAAGACATAATTTGGGAGTCAGGGCAACTGTTTGTAATTCGGGACTCTCCTGAATTTCTTGGGACGTCACCTTACTCCAACTCTCATTCAAATCTACACACACATTAAAACAGACAGACACTGTTCCTTAAGAGACAATCTTTATAAAGGTATGCATGTGTTTGCTGACATCATGGCTGAAGCTTGTATAAGGACAGACCTGGACAGGGCTGCTGTCAGGGACACACACTAAAAGCCCTGACATGATGTGTGTTTTATCCGGCGTTGAAACAGATACATCAGAAACTATTTACAGTAAGCCCATTATGAACATGCAGCCCATCTCTCATGGGCTTCCACTCTAGCACAGACGCCTCTCGCCACTGTAAGTCTATTCTGAGTGTGTAGCTGTCAGTCTGACCTTCAGAGTGTGTGTATATTTTGCTTTACATAAGGATGGGCCCCTTTATAGATTCAGTAGTGTGTTCTCATGCACCTGCTTTTACTATCTGTACTTTCAGGATGTCCGTCCACAGCGGGTGCTATTTCAGGGAGGGAGAAGGAGAATTTGATATAAGGGGAGCCGCGTCTCAGTAGCAGCTCCTCTGCTGTGGGAGCGCCCCGGTATTTATGTAGGTTAACTGACGAAGGGAGACTCTCCGACAGACAGATCAATGACAGGCTGCATCCCAAAACAAACCCTGGAGGAGTGGCAAAGTCCCAGCTGTCTTGTGGTGCACACACTGACTGTGTATGACATATCGAGAAGCTCACCCTAAGCTTTTTAAAGGTTTTTGACTTTTCATGTAACTGCATTAATCTGTAATGATGCCAAACTGCAGAGTAGGACTCTATTACACAACACACGCTATTTTTGGATGCAGTCTCTGAGGGAATACATGCTCCAGGGAGTCATTGTAGTCATTGGATCACATGCAGGATCAGCTTGTGGGGTCATGTTGCCATCACCTTAAGCTCCCCAGAGGGTGATCGGGTAACCAGGCTGGATATCCTTAGCAGTGGTATTGGTTACCAGAGCAGTCAGCGTGACTGTCTGTTGTGGTTTTTGATGATCGGATGGAGCAGTTGTTATGTGGTGGTCTTTACACGACTCACCAGTAGAGTCTGTCTGGAAGTAGACCATGTCATAATAGGATACAGTAGTCACACCTTGTGGTTGTGGTAATCAGGTGAGTAATAAGGCAGGATGTGACAGACTCTGAGGTTTGTACGGTGCAATGGGAGCATGTTTGTGTGGTTTGGTCAGTGTATGTTCATGTGTCTGAGCTAGCTAAAGGTTTAATGCCTTTAAAAAAATAGCATGTGACATTTAACTGAAAAAACCTGTCTGTCGTATCTCTTGCAGCACCGAAGTTCCCCCAGTCAGACATGAAGAGCCCTGCAGGCCTGGGTCGCTGAGCAGCTGTGGTTAGAGTTCAAGTGCTTGTTTGGGCAGTCATGGCTGACAGAGAGGGGCTGACCGCCGCCCCAGGCCAGGTCTACATCGAGGTGGAGTACGACTATGAGTACAAGGCCAAAGACAAGATGGTGACCATTCGGCAGGGAGAGTGGTACATGCTGGTGAAGAAGACCAATGAGGACTGGTGGCAGGTGAAGAAGGAGGAGGGCACAAAGGCCTTTTATGTCCCGGCACAGTATGTCAGGGAGGTGCGCCGGGCACTCATGCCCCCCCAGAAGCCCACTTTGAGGACCAAGCCCACTGTTTTGGATATCTGCCGGGCATCCAATGAAAACCTCAACAGACCCCAGCCGGAAATGTCCAGCTTTGGGCGTCCGTCGCCTTCCTCCACCCCATCGCCATCTTCTGATCCAGCCACACCACTGGTTGTGTCCAAGGATGCCAACCACAATGTGGGGAGTCCCCATCACTGCAAAGTGGTAGCTGAACTGGTGCTTCTACACAACAACAACAACCATCACCATGCCAACAATTCTACGTTGCCAAGAACACGGGCTGACTCACCTCCGCTCAAAGTGGGGAACAACCACAACAAAAGTCCAGACAGTGTCAAGACCTCCCCACCAAGCGACCTACCAGGAGAGGGGCTGAACAAGCTCCACAATGACTCTGAGTCTGGGGACGAGCTAAGCAGCAGCTCAACAGAAACCATGCAGGTAAGTTGCTACTTTACCTTTTTTTCAAATAGCGGCCTTCCAGGATCTGCTTAATCTGATCCATTTGTTTTGCTTTTGTGACTTCTTTAGGAGTTTAAGAGAATTCATCAATCAATGTTTTTAGGGGCACCATACACAGTGAAAGGTAGCTCTTTTAGTTCCGTCTCTTGAGCACCATTGGTTTTGTCCTTCTTTGATTCTCAGTTGTGCCTTACGTTCCGGTTATTTCCCACCCTGTGCTCATTTTATTGTCTTGGGCCGGCTGCAGATAATCACCCTCGTCTCCTGCAGATTATGTTACATTGGGTGTTCAGAGATTGCATGTTCTTCACTTGCTGTCTCTTGCAGTGCTACATTCATTCATCAGCCCCTTCACCACACTACCTCAAACAATTTTGTGCCTCATTTGCCACATTTGACAAAGCAGCAACAGTTGCAGGTGCTTATTAAAATCTTGTACTGTTGCCCTTGAAGCATAATTTGTCTGTCTTGTACAGATGTGGATTTTGTTGTGGGGTGGGGTTATTGCAGTCTGGTCATTAAAGATTTAATCATCTGTTCACAGCTTCATTGTTAAATGGAGGCTTTCTGTATTCAGGCACTTTAATACAAGGAAATGCCAAATACAACCACTTGTTTTTACTTTTTAAACTTCTTGTTGTTGTACTACAGGAATGTATACAAAGATATTATTATACCCAAAACTAATGCTTTGAGGCAGATGATCTTTGCAATGGGTTTGGTCTCCCGCCGTCCTTAGATTGATAACTCGGGTCTCTTCCCACCTCCATGATATCATTGTCATCACTCTGAGCCTGGAGAATGGATGGAAGGCTGCAGGCTTATCCTCCCTCATCTGCAGCGGAGGTAAATCAAAGTAGAAAAAAAGAGGAGATTTCCAGACAGTGGGAGTACAAGCTACACTGCTCTTTGTGAGCCATTTTTGGGGTGGCTGTATCTAGGCAGGGTCAGTTTGTTTGAAGGCTCGAAGTGCTACTTGTGTTCTTTGTTCCACAGGCTGTAGCAGCCTCCTCCATGAGTGAACAAAGACAGACAGGCTTGAATAGAAACTAGGTCATATCTGCGGAGGATCAGTCTGTTGCCCCCGTCGCCCCGCCGTGGGGACCACTGTGAGAGCGTGTGTGAGTGTGAATGCCATGTGTGATGCGCCATGTGAAAGAAAGGAAAGTGAGAATAAAAGCCACAAACACAGAGCTCAATATGCAGGACAGGTAAATGGTTTATGGGTTGGAATTGACATAACTCAAAAGCTACTTTTAAGGCAAGAAAAAAAATGGTTTCTGTGTTGCTGCCTGCTTTCACCAACCTTTCTGAATTAATTTCACGCTTGTCAAGTCACATGGGCCAAAATAAACACACATTTTACTTTCGGCCATTTACATTTGCATGGGCAGCTCTTTGGAGCGTTTTTTTTTTGTCAGGCTACAGTAGTGCTGAAGGGGCGGATAAGAAATGACAGACAGGATTCAGCCTAAACTCTCTGTGGTCGCCCAGGGCAGGTGGAACCCACTCCCTCTCTCATTGTGTCTTTGTGATGTTGTGTTAGTGTTGTCACAATACTGGAATTTCTAACTTTTACTCTAACCTTGAAAAATATTGATTTTTGATACCACAGCGGGAATTTACATGTTGCTTAAATTACTGAATATAATTACTGAATTATCTTATCAACTTTTTTTTTTGTTTGTTCGTTTTATTTTTATTTGTCAGGGACAGTGTACAAAATACATTAATCTTACGAAAAGATGTTTTGTACCAGAGTTAGCAAACGCTAATTTCCAACTTATCTTAGTTAATTAATAGTACTATGTGTTAAGCAGACCAGCTTCAGTTAATTTACTTCTGACCTTGGTCAAAGTATTTTCCTGTCAACTGAAACTGTGCTGTCTTGAGATTCCTTAGGTCTGACAGCTCTGAGGGGAATTAGCTTAGTTTTGAGAATTATAAGTGTCTGTTAGGCAAACATCAGGACAACTATCTTATCAACAACAGTTTACTGGGCCATCTTGTTTCATACTTTAGTGATGTTGAAAGGGGAGATGTCTCCACCCTCTCCAGGTTCCTTATAAAGGACGGAGTGTCGGTCCTGCAGGTGCTCTTTCGTTAGCACCGCTCTGTACCGTCACTTTCATTTGGGCTTGCTTGTTTTCTTTGCCAGCATCCAATCACAAGTACTGAGTACTAGCCAATTACAGCACAGTAGGGTGGACTTGATTCAAACGGAGCGAATGAGACGAGAAGAAATTGCTGTGAGTGACGGGAGGCAGGGTTGTGTGGGCACTGCAGCGGTGTGTGTATCAGCTCGCTGTTAGGGACAAGAGAAGCATATCTTCAGGATCGATACTGTGGAAAATGAATATTAAAACCGTTATAGTCAGAATTGATATGTATCGAAAAAAGGGAATGACCCTGCAAACAACATTTACAGAATTTATTATAAAAGACAGAAGAAGGGGAGAAGTTGCAAACCTGCGAAGATTAGGCAAATTAACCAGCTGACATAGGCTGTAGGTCTGTACGCTGTACAAAGCGATGCACAGGCATCATTATTTAGTAACCACTATCCATGAGTAAAATTTATAGATGAACATCAGATTTGAATGGAATATAATAAAATAAAAACTATAGGCTATGCTTGACCATTAAAACAGCATTTTTGTGTGGGAGTATAATAAGGAGATACGCGATAAGGTTTGTTACAAAACAAACTGGATTAAGCCATCAAGTTCTTAAAATAACTCCAGCACAGAGAAAGCAACACAAAAATAAAATCGCGACAGTATGGAAGGTTAGTAAAACATTTCCAGCCGACAAGAGCTGCGGATCCGCTGGCCAGACTCACGTCTGTGTCCGCCTGAGCGTTTAATGAGATTTCTTACCTGCTGTAATCAGCTGTTCCACCTGTTTTGGAGAGACCGACTTCGGCTCTGTGTGAAAACTTCCTGACTGATGAAAACTTAAAATAACAACTCTCGACCCAGTATTTACCGTAACTACTTTGCCTGTTCGCTGTAAACACACTGCTGCACGCTGGCTATTTCTGAGCAATACATTTAATGCTGACGTGTGATTTCAGGCGGACATCGGTGAGACTTGTGTCTATGGTGACTGTTCATTTTGATTTATTGGTTTGCAAACAGCGGTGGACAAGAGAGGAGCAGTCGTAAAAAAACAGCAGACGGGCTCGATTTAAAGCCAGTAGCCTCTACTCGCCCATTCAGAAATTCACTGCAAGACAAGCCCCACCCTCCCCAAAGTACCGGTACTTTTGGAAAGTACTACCTCCCCTGAGCAGGGACTTTTTGGGGGGTAAAATAAAGACCCTAGAACTAAATTTAGATCCTGGTCACTTTGGTGGAAACGCAGTGAGTTCCTCCAAAGGTTCCTAGTTCCAGGGTATAGTTCCTTTGGTTGAAACACAGAGTCCTGGAAGCATACAGGTCCTGGAGGGATGGTAGATTACAGCAATCACCTTCTCTGCAGAGCAAATGATATGTTGCAGTCTGCCTTTGTCCTTTGAAGTGGCAGCAGTGTACCAAATGGTGATGGAGGAGTTGAGGATGGATGGCGGTGTAGAAGTGCACCATCATTGCAGCAAAACTAAAATCAGGAAAGGCTCTCCAATCAAAGTATGTTTTAAGAAGGGACTTAAAACAGTTCATTGACTCAGCTGACCTGATTTCCTCGGGCTGGCTCTTCCAGAGCCTCGGGGCCCCGACAGCAAACACTGTCCCCTTTAGTTTTCAGTTGAGACTCTGGAACAGTCAACATACCTCTGCCAGAGAGTGCCCGGGAAGCAGAAGGATTCCACAGTGTCGACTGTAGGGCTGGGCTCTTTATGAAATCCACAACAAGGTCATCAGATGGCCAATTTCCCGCCTGTAGGCAGACTTATTCCCGCCACAGGTGAGTCCAACGAGGGTGGTGTCATCCGCAAACTTCAGGAGCTTGATGGACTGGTGACTGGAGGTGCAGCTGTTGGTATGGGAGAATAGCAGAGAGTAAAAAACACAGACTTGAGGTGGAGTCAGGCACGCACAGCTGTTGGGATTATGGTGTTAAAAGTAGGGCTGTCGTGATAACCTCAAAATTGAAATACCGTGCTATTGGTCAAGCCTACTGCAAAGGATGGCAATCACCGCAACAACAGCAATGTTCATACTGTACACTTCAGGGCATGTTAAATTAATAAATGAGTGCTTCAAAAGTTCCACAACTGTAACAAGCTCTGTAATGGTTCAAGGATGGCTCGCCATCGGCTGTATGTGACCTGACTTCAAACTTGGAAGCTGTAAGTGTTGCCATGTATTGTAGTGTTTTTACTGTTTATTTGAAAGGTTAGCTAACTTGCCGTTAGCATATTGCGCGGCTAGCAGGCTCGGTGATGTGGACTTGCGTAATCCTAATGTAACGAGAGAAACAGAACGGAAAGCCTCATTTGAAGCTAACTAACGAGCGTACTGTGTTGGATGCCTGGAGCTGTTTTTCATGTTGCTTTCTATTGAAGTTATAATGTTACCACAGCGCAGTGGTTAGTTGCGGACAGCCATTCAGCTCCGCACCGTGGCACGCGTGTGTGTTGCTGCGTATGTAAATTGACTTGATATATGTGCCCTGAAGGTAATGATATCGCTACGTGTGAAAAAGACACGGTCAAACTACAAAAAGGAGTTTGCTTGGCAATGTTGTTGACTAGCAGCCAGCAGCTGCAACCCGAGGTGACAGACACTCTTACTATGCTATATGGCTACAAATTACTTCATTGATGAAAGATGCAATAATACCGCATACAGCGCAGTTGAGTCCTAACATATTGCCGTGATGGAAATTACTTCACCGCAACAGCCCAAGTTAAAATCCACAAACAGGATCCATGCATAGGTTCCTGAGCAGTCCAGGTGCTGGAGGATGAAATGAAGGGCCATGTTTACTGCATAGTCTACAGACCTGTTGGCTCTGTAGGCGAACTGTGGATTTCC